CTAAAACATTTTTTATCCTAAAGAAAAATGGCCTTCAGTGTTTTGGCCAATGCCTGTCCTCCAGACTTTAGTTAACCAGCAGCATTGTTTGAAACGCGCGAACCCTGAACTGGTTTCAGCCTTCTGGTGCTCACCAACAAAGCCACCGTGTAGCGAAATCTCTGATAGATTGTACAGAGCGAAAGCGAGTGCCTTGGGGGTTGCCGGAGTCGAGAATAAATCCTCGACTATCGCGAAGAGAACGCGGCACTCCTATGCCGCGCAGTGGCTGTAAGCGGAACTGCAGTTCCCACAGCGATGCATCCACAACCACCACCCGCGAATTAACGAATGGTCCCGATTAAAAGTCACGGTTCGATTAATTAGAAGCGGTGAATGTGCCGCTGTGTCAACTCGTGACTGCGGGGGGTGATGTGAAGCCATTACGTGCGAATCGTAAAATATGATTTGATCCTCGTAAGCTTAGAAATGTGTATTAATCTAGAATGTGACGCATCGCCACACTTCGAGATGTTACTCAACCGATTCATTAAATGGTTTCGCCTGTGCTCAAACGAGCTGTCGTCTCTCTTGACCCGGTAGTGGAAATTCCACATTACTATGGCAGGTGGGCTAGGTTATGCCCAGCACAACCCCTGCTGCTGTTGTTTGACCAAAAAAGCAGTACTAATTTTTATTGATCTGAGAGGGATGGCGGGACAAGTCGACCTCTAACAAGAATGTTAACTCTTAGCCCTATGATTGAGAATCACGCGTTCCTCAATAGTGCCGCTAGTTTTTTTTTGTCTTATACGGGCCTTCGGGTCTGCGACGATAAACCTCGCGTCAAACCAGAGGCGTGCATTTGAACGTATTCATTGTACCTGCAAGAGGTGTTGGAGGCATTTGTCAATGCGTTATTTTTACTTGCACTGCACACGGTACGTTAACAATGCGGTTGTTGCGTCTAATTGGCCAGGATGCAATGTTGTGCCCGGGCCACAGGCGAGGCACGTAAGTGACCCAGCGGTTGGCGCGCTGACCACGGGCCACACTCTCCACGTGTTTTCAATGACTCGCGGACATTTTTGCCCACGTGTGGTTAACCTCGCTGTGGTGCCGAAGGGGGAAATGGGAGGGGAGGGCGTGAGCTTGGAGAGTAACACGTGGAGCGCGAAACAAACTCGAAAATCGCCTGCTGCTGCTCGTCGTGCAAAGCTTGCAGGCAATCGGACCTTTTCGAGATTCGTATAGCAGCGACCTTATTCCAAGGCGCTTTACAGCAAGGAGACTTCAGTTTTAGACCGAGGCTTTTTCGGATGACGCAGCATTTGACGTCGCAGGGAGTGAGAGTCGAATGCAGGCGCGTGCGTACAAATCGACTTTACGTTGTATGGCTGTGCGAGACGGGGGCGCTGTACTGTGTCGATGAACTCTTATTGAGATCGAAACCCGTACACAGCTGTGAGTTACCCTCCTTGCCAGAAGCACGAGGTCACGATTCCGATTGTGGACATTCAATTGAGCATTTTACGAGGCCACTTTCATGCACTGCGCACCATTGGCTTTGGAATCCCACAATTCTTTGTTGGCCTTGCGCGTTTGCACATGTGTTGAGGAAGTTTGTACTTTGCTGCCTACAAGCATTGCCAGCGAGTTACAGTAATTCCAAACATCTTTTCATCCATCAGCAGCCATGATCGATCCACAGCTAGATGGAGGCTTCCCAAAGCCGTCGCCATCACTCGCAGTTCCGTGTGGGAGATGCATCGCTCCATGCATCTTCCGCTACCCCACCGTGTCCATATCCAACACAGGCATTACTTTGAGTATATATAGTGTCGAATGTCTCATGTATCCCTACATGAACCACTTCAGAAGAGTGGCGAGATCAGCTTTGTCTTAATAAGTGGGTGTTTGAGGCAGAGGTAATGTCCCTGCTAGTATGGGGTCAGTGAGTTGGACTTCGTCAAAGAAACTCGCAAATAAACTTCTGGCTTTTGAGTACAAGTACGAGTGGTGGATGCTAGTAAGTTCAACACGTAGGCTTTAACGACAAATATGATGCTAGGTACTTGATGGAAGGATGAACTCAGCAAATTCAAAATCTCGAGATCCTACAGATTTGCCATGTACGGTACACGGGTGTGTTATATAGATCCTACATCTGCCACGGAAGGTCCACAGAATGTTCATGCGCAGTTTGCCGAATTTCCTTGTGCAGCTTACGAGAATTGTCATCTACAGATCGTGGAATTGGCGCGTGCAACTCGCGTATTGTTTTTTTTGTGTTTAGTGTTTGTACGCCTTTTGGCGTCATCTGGTCGAGCACCAATTGGGTCGAGGCTCAAAAGAAAGCCGTCCCTTGGTGTGGACCAATCAGTTTCAAGGACAATGCATATATTATCATAGTGTGTGTTTTTTGTTTGCATTTTGACTGCAGGTATTGTGGTTAATGCAGACATGAATCCTTGTAAAAAGGTTTCAGTTTTGTTGCCGAAAAAGGGGGAAAAAACCTATTATTATGCTTGTTTGTTGTCTTTTTGTGTTTGTTTGATGTCCTTCCCCCGCACCTCTGATTAGCGCGGTTGGCTACGTACGCTGCGAAAGACGTTCAACATACTACGTGCTCTTTTACTTTATTTGTATTTATTTTTTCTAGCGGCTAGCTTACCTTTTCTCAACTTTGCACTCCTAACTGTCTGACTCGAGCGCCCCTACTGGCCATCTGCGAAAAATAGCTTCACAGCTCTTCGGATCCCTCCTCCCGAATGAATCAATGAATAGGAACAACGGAACATTCTGAACTCACGCGAGAGCGTGGGCTCGAGATCGCGCCTTTTCCCATTCGACGAGCGCGAAGGCGCGGCAGCTGCACCGCTTGCCGCGTACGGGACGGGCGATGATGGCAATGACTGCGGCGGCTTGTAGAGCCGCAGATGTTAAAAACAAAACGCGCCGCGTCTTAAGAGTGCGCGTTTCCCATTGTGGGCAGTGCAGCCGTGGTGCTTCAGGGCTCTCTCTCTCTCGCTCTCTCTCGCTCTCCCTCCCTCGCCCAATAATGGGGGTCGAGGTGAGTGCCCGTCAACAAAGCCTCCATTGCCATGAAGAAAGGCAGGTGGTGGTGGCTCGCTAATGTGTTGAAGCGAGATCCTCAGCATTTATGTTCGGCTTTTTTCCCTCTCCTCTTCACCACTCGGCATGAAAGGAGCTGGCAAAACTAATGGGTAGCATCAGCAGCGGCTACCAAGGCCAGAGTGTGACGTAGAAATCTGCCGATGCGCATAAATCGTTTCGTGGTTTGCGCTTGCTTTTTACTTAAGTACATGATAAATGATATTTGGCGGGTTCTATTTAGGGCCACTGATACAGATCACCATGGGACCGGACCGCCGAGAATGCGCCCGGCTCTCGCAGATCGGGGATGCTCAGCAGGACCCGAGTTAGTACTCGGATATGTGACCAACCAGGGCTTGCCAGGTGTTGTAGGTTTGGGGCTACGAGGTGTGGCGAGGAGCAGTGTCGAGTGTCTCACCCCTTCGTACGGAGGGAGGGTGGTTGGTTTCCTCTTGATTTCCTCCCACGTGAAGTCAAACTCTCATTCATGCAATTGGTCTTAAACGTCAGTGCACTGGAGCAGGGTCCTCTTGGTGACGCCTCGAGACTCGGTGAGGTTTCCGTCAGGGTAAACCACTGGCGGCATCCTGCTACTATTATTGTTCGGTGCTCATTTCGCGTCGATGGAAACATCGCAAGTCAAACCCCCAGCGTCTCCCTACTTAGGACAACGAGGACTAGAGATGACATTTGTCTTCATCGTCACTGCTGGCGCCCTGTCATGTAAAGCGCGCGTAAGCCAATGCAACGCGTGGCCTGGATAAATGCGCGAAAAAAAAAATCACGGTTTTTTTGCCGTTGTATTCCCCTGAAGAAGCGAGTGTGGACATCCTCATAAGTGTACACAGCGTAACCACGCAGCAGTAGCAGTAGCGTAGTAGCGAGCGGTTGGCATGGGACCCTGGTGCAAGGCGCACCCTTCATATTTCCCCCCTCTCCATAGCCCCCGGTACCTGGGCCCCCTGTGGCTCGTGGAACCCGGCGTGCAGTCGCACCGCCTGAACACTCGAATGTCGACGCCACTGGCTGGCTGACAGCGAAGCGACGGCGGTGGGTTCCTGTTGCGAATTTCCGTGCGGTTTACCGGGTGCGCGGGAGGGAGGGGGGCAGTGAGGATAGGGGTCGTGTGTAACAGTGGGTTGGGGCGGTGAGACAAGCGAGGACCCCCCCCCCCCACCACCACCACTATCCGTGCCCCCCCCCACACACACCCCACGCACCAATTCCCCCACCACCGCCGTCTCTTCTCACGGCCGAGCCACGCCACCTGTGCCCACGGTGTTCCAGCGGTGCCGCATCCATTCACGTGCAAGACAGCAGCGTCGCTCGATCGCGCGCGCCAGTGCGCGTTTCCGCTTCGCCGTGTCAACACGTTCCGTGTTCGATGCGCGCCCTGCGCAGCGTGCACGCGCGTGTGCGCGCGAGGGTGATGAAAAGGGGGAGGCGACGGGGATGGTCGGCGCGCTCTGATGAACTCGCCGGCTGGACACGTGCTTAGCGGAAAAGGCCATCGTCCAGCAGTGTCGTCGAGTGCGGCTGGGTTGGGGCGGCGGATGCAGGGGCAGGACTGCAGGCGTAGCGGGTCGGCTAATGGAGATGCGCTCACGAGTAGGTGGATTCTCGTTTGCGATGGGATGCAAAGAACAAAAACAAGCTTGGTCAATTCACGTGTGCACACACGCGCGCACGCACGCACGCACGCACGCACACACACACGTGTAAACACACACAAATGTAACACAACATATAAGGAAGAGTCAAATATACACAGGTACACACCACTGCAACCACACGTAAACACACGTGCACACACAAGCGCGCGCGCGCACACACACCACACACCACACACATACGTGTGCGGCCGTGTCAGCTGTGCGGTTTGTGTGTGTGTGTGCTGCCTCTAGACCCATCTTCATATGACAGCATCAGGCGCACAGCGACTTGGACAGGCGCTCCCACCACCCCAACCACTAAAGGTGAGACAACGTCACAAGGCGCCACCAGCATCACCAGCCGCCGTGATTTATCCACTGCTGGATAAATCTGCATTCGAATTTGTGGCCTCGCCCATCCCTGTGGCCTCGCCCATCCCTGCGTTCGAATTTGTGGCCTCGCCCATCCCTTAGTTATGCCGCCACAGTCCCCCGCTCCCCCACACTCCCTTCGGTCCCTGTAACCCTGCCTGGTCCGATGGAACAGACCCCAAAACAGTTTTATTTTGTGCCTGTATATATTGTAATATGAACGGTGGCGCCGTGGTTAGCGCACTGCGCTGCGAACCCGGCGACCCGAGTTCGATTAGTCCTCACGACCAACGCCAGCGACAATTATCTGAACCGGTCCTAAACTTCCGCTAGGTCGACTCAGCCTTAAATATTACTGCCCAGAGCATAGTGTAAAAATTGCCACTGGGGAGACAAAGGTGGCCGGGCGTGGTATTGGCCACCCACTCACACGTGTTCCCGTGCCGGCCTTCATTGGTGCTCGCTCACAGCACTTTCCCCAAAAGTCTATCCAGGCTACAGGGGGGGAGCTTTGCCTGTTTTTTTTAAATATTGTAACGATTGTTGCTCGCCTTTGTGTTTCTTCTCGTTGTGCAAAGGGAGCACTCCCAGCGTGCAGAGTCTAAACAAATCCACCGAGGGGCGCACACAACCTGGTACGGTGTTTCGCGTCTCACAATCCACCCGCCTTGCATTCGTGAACGGGGTGGGGTGTGTTATCTTTTGCATTGGTTCCGAGCGTTGTGTGCGGTGGTCGCGGTGGTCGCGGTGGTGGTGGTGGTGGTGGTGCGGGACTTCTCGTGAGATTTGCGCCTCGGTTTTGCGGGGCGCAGTAGTGCAACGGTTAGCGCTACGCTGCGCCGTGAACCCGGCCACCCGAGTTCGATTCCCGCTCGCGCTCAACACCAGTGACTGATTATCTGAACCGGCCCTGGGCCTTCCCCGAGGTCGACTCGAACTTAATAATTAGTCAGTTTAACACGCGGGAGGCTTTCGCGACCAATATTATTCATAATAAAGGTTTTTGGGTTAGATCGCGCTATTTATAAATGTGTCGTAACCCTCCACCACCCGACACGGCCAATCGGCAAAGAGAAAGTGTCACGTTGACATAAGACAATTAGTTCACTACTTTAGCCCACCGGTGTGTTGAAGAGTGAATCCACAACATTTACAGTTTGAGTACGACGTGTCGCTGGTAATTACATCCAGCATCATCGGGCAATTCTCCAGAATGGTAAAGCCCTCACTTGCTCCCGGTCTTAAATAGAGCAGCAGGGTGACGTCATAATTTAACTCATTCAGGTGCAGTAATTATATAATCGATTGGTAATCAGTCAATGGTTATGATTAGTAATGAGTTGTAATGTGTGTTATTGTGAATATATGCTGCGTTAGTAATCCGTTAATTAGCATGTGTTTCCCCTATAAGGAATTGTAATATGTATTATTTAATAATACGCTTCCAAGCCACACTAAGCCTATAGCTATCAGAGCGATTAAAGTTATTTTTATTTCTCTCAATTTCAATGGATTCTGTAATTAGTCTTTGCCAGTAATAATTAGTTTTACACAACACTTCAACGTTATCAAAATCAATTGAGTGTCTTTGTTGACAAGCATGTTCTGCCACTGCCGACAGTTGTGTTTGAGATAATTGAATATTTATTTGGTGTTCTTTTAGTCTTATGCTGTTGTTACGTCCCGTCTGTCCAATATAGCATCTGCCACATAAACAATTATTCCGATATACACCTTCTGTTGATAATTTAGGTAATTCGTATTTAGTGCAAGATACTAGTTTTTGAATTTAGGACCTGGTGCGGAGTGTAAAACATTCGCCTCTGGGGGAGACAAAGGCGGCCGAGCGTAATGCTGGCCACCCACCCCCTCGTGTGCCGTGCCGGCCGTCATAGGTGTTCGCTGACAGCACTTGCCCCAACAGTCTGTTCAGGGGAATCTTTGTGCCGGTCTTCACATGCGATTTTCGTCCTCTGTTTTTGTGATCCAGATCCCTACCAGATCCTCGGACCGACGAGCAGTCGCCTAGCGAACCCCGGTGCGTATTTTCCCACCCACTTCGGATGAGCAGAGCCGTAGCCAGACGCTTTATAAACTAAACTATTTTTTTTCATTTTACCAGGTCAGGGCCAATGAGATATATCGCTCTTTTCTCGCGTACGCGACCTGGCTATCACAAATGATAGCTCAACGAAGTGGCTTATCATCGTTTGGAAATGTATAGCTGCCAAATACTCTAAATGCATGTTGATTCTAAATGTGGAGGAAAAATCCGGAGGACCCAGAGAAAAATCCATGTGACCACAGGGAGAGAAAACATGCAAACTCCAAATATACAGGCATCAGAGTTGGGATCTCCCTGGTCACCGTGGCGATGCTGCCTATATCGCCAGTGGTGCACAATTAATGCAATTAATACATTGTCAAAAACGCTGTGTGGTCTTTAAATTAATTTAACATATATAAGATAATTATTGACGTTTCTGGCAATGGCCATTCTTTAAAGGACATAAATAGAGGGGCTAGAGAGATCAAAGAGTGGAAAATAAGAGTTGAAGACCACACTTGTTTACACCATGGGACACCTGATGGTAATTGCATGTAAAACATTATTGTCTGGATCTATGTTGATCTTCTTTTGCAACGTACGTAGACAACCGTGCTAATCGAAGGGTGCGGGAGAAGGGCAATAAACTAAACACACAGCGGTTTTAAAAGAATGAGTTTTAAATCGAGATTTAAAAGTCGAGATTTAAAAGTGCCATAGCTCTGAATCGAGACGAGGTGCCATCATTGTGCCCCCCCCTTCTACCACCTCCCCCCACTCACCCCCACCAGCCCCCACTCACCCCCCCCACCCGCCCTAGCCCCATCCACCCCCACCCGACTCTACGGCGCTGGCACCGCCCCACCAATAAGTTTGAGCCACCAGCCGCCACGTTTCCAAAAGCTCACTCCGTTTCCAAACAATCGTGGGTTCGACATTCGGGGGACGCTCCCCCCTCGGCAGGGGGTGCCAGGGGCAGCCCACCCTCTGCCCCCCTCCCCGTCGATCCCCCATGCCACCCCCCCCCCCACCCACCCATGGGAGTTTGGCTTCTTTTTGATGGACCGGTTGGTATGATGACTTCGGAAGCCGATTAAGATGCCACTGCTGCTCACGCTATGAAATCGTGACGTCGGTGATAATTGCTCACAGTGATGATATGATGCTGCTGCTGCTGCCGATGCTGTTGCTGCTGCTGCTGACGATGATCATAATTTGACGATGCCGATTTACGATGAATGCATGAATCGCCGCCGCCACTGCTGCTGCTAATCACGATGACAATGCAATGTGCCGATTAGCGATGAACCCGTCGATGGCTAACGCTGACGCCGAATGTTACGATTGGTGATGCCCTATGGTAGCAGCAGCTGACGCCGACCGCCACGCCGACGGCGGCACGCTCGAACGTTGCCAACAACCAATGCCGTTCTCCTCCTCCTCCTCCTCGCCGCTCCTGATGCGCACAGGGAGCGGCCAGATCCAGCTGTGGCAGTTCCTCCTCGAGCTGCTCTCCGACAGCTCCAACGCCAACTGCATCACGTGGGAGGGCACCAACGGCGAGTTCAAGATGACCGACCCGGACGAGGTGGCGCGCCGCTGGGGCGAGCGCAAGTCCAAGCCCAACATGAACTACGACAAGCTGAGCCGCGCGCTGCGCTACTACTACGACAAGAACATCATGACCAAGGTGCACGGCAAGCGCTACGCCTACAAGTTCGACTTCCACGGCATCGCGCAGGCGCTGCAGCCGCACCCCACCGAGTCGAGCGTCTACAAGTACCCGTCGGAGCTGTCCTACGTGTCGCCGTACCACGCGCACCACCAGCAGAAGATCAACTTCGTGTCGCAGCACCCGCCGCCCTCGATGCCCGCCACCACCTCGAGTTTCTTCGCGGCCGCCGCGCCCTACTGGAGCTCGCCGGCAGCCGCCGGCATGTACCCGGCGCCGCCCGGAGTGGCGCGGCACCCCAGCCCCCACGTGCCCTCGCACCTGGGCACCTATTATTGAGCGTGCTGGTGGTGATGGGCGTGGTGGTGGGGGATCAGGAGGGTCGGGAGGTGGTGGCGGTAGCGTGCCATGCCGAGTGGTTGGTAGTGGGTTTCTGTAGTGGTTGTAGTAGTAGTGGTGGTAATCACCTGTGCCGGACTTGCAATTTCCTGTGGGTTGGGAGGGGGGGGGAGAAGCAATTTTACAAAGTGTACCCAAAAAAGTAGTTCCTGTGTGGGGTTAGGCCACAACCTACGCGACGTCACTGGGTGGATGGGACAACGTCGCAAGGCACAACTTGCTTGCAACTCCCTCCCCCTTTCCCCTCCCCCCATCGCCCTCCATTCGCCCCACTCCCGCAACGTTGGGCCGATGCTTGCAAATGAGCACTGATGCGGTGAGAATTTAAGAATGAATAGCTTGACCAGATATTGATGACATTTTCTATTCAGGTCACGTCAAAGTCAAAAGTGTTTTCCGGCTCAGCTGACCAATGTTTTTCCGCGCATATTTTGTCTTCATCACCTCTGAGCCAGTGGTGACAATTCCACATTCCCATGACCGGGAGCAGTCCATTGCACATGACGACCACCGCTAGGACTTCCCACAGAGTGGTGGTAGTCGTTTTTAGCGAGCCCACAGCTGCGATGGGCTGCCTCGGAATGAAACGCTCCAGTCAGGCGCTCCATCCACCGGGTCACCAGCACAGGATGTATCCCAAGTACTGTAATTTCAGACGTTTGGTAACGAACACACCCCCTCCCTATTGTAGTGTCAACCCTGTGTGAGGAGCGGGGGTGGGGGGGGGGCGCAGTTTGCTTTGCGTAGCTCGCTGTCCCACCCACAGTCCCGCGTTGCGGGCCAGATGATTTGTGCCACCGTTTCTTCTGGGTACACTTTGTAAAGATGCGGAGAGAAGAGCAACGAGAGACGATGAAGTCTGCACCACCGCCGCCACCGCCACCATCGCAGCAACAACAACAACAACCAGACATGTCTGCCTGTCAGCAACAGCAACAACAAAAGCTGAATGACCCAGGCACAGTGAACAAAGATTGACAGCGCGTGACAATACCAAGCGTCTCCTTGAGACAGGAACAATGATTTTTAAGAGACTTTTTTTTTTAAATGGCCGCTGTCGTCTTCAAGCAAGCGCCTGCTTGACCTCCTTGAACTCAAAGAGGTGCACCTCCTCCACTGGATTTGTAATACTGTACCGTAAACGTGAGAAGAATATCCCTTGACGGAGCGCACTCACTCGCCACCAAAGTTCTCAATGTGATGTTGTGTGTAGAAAAAAACAAATTAAACGCAAAGCAGCATTTGTAAGGAGTTGTGTATCAGGCACGACGGAAACTTGCCTCGTGTGCTGCGTAGTTGCACTGAAATGCGGAAAAGGGAAGAAAAAAACACAACCCCTCTTGTTACCCCAACTTATTTTGTCGACCGCGCATAGAATATCCCAAGGACATAGAACCATTGCTCTCACAATCCTCATCGTGTACTGTACAATATTATTCGAAGCGCGCCCCAGTGTGGAATGATTTTGTCGTCGTCGTTTTCGTAATTAAAAAAAGAAGCCTCTCTTCCACCACCACTTTGTGAAAACAACGAATGCAAGGCATTACAAGGTATTACCCGCCCGTCTCCGCAGCCTGCGAGCACAATCAACGCGTCGTGTATCAGTTACTGAAAAGTGCCTTTCTTTCTCTCGTGTTCCCCATTTTGTGTGTGGGTTAAGATCAGCAGCAAAAATACGGCCGTATTCGGGGTATTAACAATACGAATAATGACCTTTTAAAAAAAAAATAACTATCCCGGAAAGAAGAAACCTCACCGAGTCTCAAGACTCTCTTTTTTTGTATTCAAGGAGGATCCTGCTGAGGCTCGGGCTGCCCAAGAGGTTTCTTTGAGGCCCGTGGGCAGATTGCCACACAGGTTGGAGAGGGGGGGGGCTGTTATTCATGAGCAACAACAAGAACATTAGGCCAGTTGTTGAGAGGGGTGGGCGGGTGCTTTTTGGTTGAGTCCTGGTGGCAAATTGCCCTCATTTTGCTCTGACCCCCCCCCCCCGCCACACAGACCCAGATTTACAAGAATTGGGTGGCGTCGTGCGGGAGTGAAATCGAGCGAAGAGTCCAGGACAAAACACACCAGGCATACGACGGGGGGTGGGAGATGGGGGTGGGGGTGACACTTTGGAGATGTATAAAATATGTGAGCACAAGGAGGAGAAAAAGAAGCCACTTGTCAGTCCGACCCCGTCGTTTTTGTTGTTAAAAGTGCTTCAAAGAGCCGACGTTTTTTTCTTCTTCTGCTGTAACCGAATTATTCACCGCTGATTGCATTGAACCCCCGGTTAGAATCCGCCCCACAATGTCCCCTCAGCAAACGCACGTACACGAACGCTGGGCGTTTGTAAAAACGTCACTTTCACACAAAAAAATATTAAAAGAAAAAGGCCAAAAAAATATCTTTATACACGTGCCTTGATTTTTTTATTGTTATCTGTTTTATTGTTGTGTTTTTAAACAGAGATGACTAATTAAATTATGCATTAAATATTATTTGCTAACTCCGCTACGTGACGAGTTGAACTCGGGCTTATATTTGCTAACACACGATGCGTGCAGATGTTTTTTTTTGTGTATCTATGTAACGTATTCCATGCCAGGGTTTCCACCCCCCAAACTCCAGTCCTTGACACCCACCGTGCCAAGCCATCCAACGCCCCCCTCCCACCCGCAATCTCCATTTACAAAAATCCAAATTAAGTAATGACATGCTGCGCGCCCCTGATGATTGGCAAACTGGTACCACGAGCCATAGAGCGTGCTGAATCAAATTAAGATCGACAATGCTGCTGCTGCTGTGTGTGTGCACATCTGTTTGCCCTTGACGTAAGAACGTTGACTCGAGTACAGGAGAAATGTCGTGTTCTTGGCTGTGCTGCGTGATGCAGACAGCGCCCAGCAATTTGACTCGGTGCTCTCCGCGTCGCGTTCTAAACGTGCGCAGCAATCATCCGGCGCGTGCGGTGTGCAACCCAACAATTGCATTTTGAACGGAGTAGGCCGGTGAACTTGGAAGGAAAGGAGGCGTGAGTTTGAAGGAAAACGAGTTCATCATAACCCCCTGTTAAAGGACCGAAGACCACCACAGCAATTTCTGCACAATTATTTGACCAGCCTGATTTAAACTCAAACCACAATGAACGATTTAACAAATGTATAGACTGTCGGAAAGAGTTTTTTTTTTAAACCAAACCAGAGCCGTATTTGTAAAGGGGTGTTTCGCCTGAAGCTGCGTCGTGGGCGGACGTTGACGGCGGCGTTGTGGTGTAAAACTAAATCGTGGTCTTATTTTTCTACGTGTGTCAATGTTTGTCGTGAGCCGCGCATGCGGTTAACCCAAGGCAGCCTGCATTAAGCTAATGTGACAATCTTGTATTATACGTGCTAAATGCAATTTAATAAACGACAATAATAATAAAAAAACCCAACCTAACAAGCCTCCATAAAACGTGTCTGTCTCGAAGTGGCGTTCCCGCTCGATGTTGTGTGCGTGTGGTATGCACAGCGCTCTGAATAGCAATCTTTCCCACAATGCCCCAGTGGTCGTCTTGTCAGTTTTAACTTTCTCTTCAGTTCTCTGGTGGCCTACGGCTCCTATTTATGTATGTGGGTGCGCTACGGTGGCTAGGAGATGTTAACTACCTCGCCTGGTATACAGGAGGTCGTGGGTTCGATCCTGACGCTGACGCCTGCTGCTGTATATTTGGAGTTTACGTCTCTCTCTCTCATCATCATCACGGTGGCTAGGAGATGTTAACTACCTCGCCTGGTATACAGGAGGTCGTGGGTTCGATCCTGACGCTGACGCCTGCTGCTGTATATTTGGAGTTTACGTCTCTCTCTCTCATCATCATCACGGTGGCTAGGAGATGTTAACTACTTCGACTGGTTTACAGGAGGTCGTGGGTTCGATCCCGACGCTAACGCCTGCTGCTGTATATTTGGAGTTTGCGTCTCTCTCTCATCATCACGGTGGCTAGGAGATGTTGACTACCTCGCCTGGTGCACAGGAGGTCGTGGGTTCGATCCCGACCCTGACGACGCCTGCTGCTGTATATTTGGAGTCTGCGTGTCTCTCTCTCATCATCATCACCACGGTGGCTATGAGATGTTGACTACCTCGCCTGGTATACAGGAGGTCGTGGGTTCAATCCCGACCCTGACGACGCCTGCTGCTGTAGATTTGAAGTCTGCGTCTCTCTCTCATCATCATCATCACGGTGGCTAGGAGATGTTGACTACCTCGCCTGGTATACAGGAGGTCGTGGGTTCGATCCCGACCTTGACGACGCCTGCTGCTGTATATTTGGAGTTTGCGTGTTCTCCGCGTGGTCGTTTTGATTTTTTCAGGGTCATCCGATTTTTTCTTTCCCCATTTAGAATCGATGTGCATTCAGAGTATTTGGCTACTATAAATGTCCACGGGATAAGCCACTTTCGTTGAGCTAGAATTCGTGATAGCCAGGTCGCTTCTGAAAAAGAGCCATATAGCTCAGTGGGGGCCTACCTTGTTAAAATAAGAAATAGTTTAAAGCTTTAGTTTAGTATGTTCAACTTATTTCGCTATGCTCTTTGGGTTTTATTCGGTAAAGTCACGTAGGTAAAATAAAACAAAATAAAATAAAGCAATTAAAGCACGACGTTTCGGAGGCAACACAAGCTTCCGTCTTCAGGTGGAATAGTCAACGCAGAATATCTGTGTCAGGAGCACAGTTCAGAGACGACCGGGATTATATACAGGTTAAGGGGGGGGGGGGAGGAGTCAGTAAGGGGGCGTGGGTGGGTGGGAGGGCTGGGTTAAGCAGCCTTTTGATAGACTGCTGCGGGTAACAGCCAATTCGCACTGCACGAGAGTGGGTAAAACCCACCTTTTGTTATGCTGCGTGGAGGGTCGGGGGGAGTAAGAGACATGCTGCATGTGTACAGCTCCATTTTTTGAAAGCGGCGGCAAACGGCTGTTCAATTATAAGGTAGCTAAAGTTTGATATACAACCACTGAGAAAAGGAAATGGCTGTACAAAAAATTGAAAGGCAGCTAACGTTTGATTTGATTTATAACATCTTTCCAGTGATTGCTCAATTTGAAACCATCCTCTCGGTTGAAGTTGTGTCTGTGTTTGTAAATCTGGATGGTCTCGTGGACAAATCTCTCATAATAACCGGTAGGTTTGGAGAGCACCTTGGTATCGGAGAAAACAATATCATGATCACCCACAGCATTGTAACAATGATCAGCCACGACAGAATAATTCGTTCTGCCGTGTTTCAAATCTGATTTGTGCTCGCGAATTCGGTCAGAGATATGTCGTTTCGTCTCCCCGATATAGCAATCACCGCAGGTACAACTCGGATTTTGTGCACTGTGTTGAACCGGACCTGGATCTTGTGTTTGTTTAGATTTTTGGAAATCTTTTTAGTAACGCCTGCTATGTATGGTAGCGTGATGATTTTGATCGGAGTGTCAAGTGGTTGTTTCTGCATGGTGGGAGAAACAGCTTGGCGGATGGTACGGTCAGAGTAACCGTTCAGCTTGAGGGCCAGATGTACATGTTTTAATTCACTGGTCAGGTGGTGTTTGTCAGAAATGCAATGAGCCCTATGGATTAACGTTTTGATGAGATAATTCTTCTGAGTCGGGTGGTGGTGGGAATCAGGTTTCAAGTAGGAGTCTGTGTAGGTGGGCTTCCTGTAAACAGAATGTCTCAAAGAGCCATCAGGCCTTCTCTCAAACAGGACATCCAAGGATGGTAGCTTGCCATCTTTCTCCACTTCCATGGTGAATTTGATGGAAGGGTGTCTGGAATTGATGTGGTCTAGGAAAATGTTCAAAGCTGGGAGGCCATGTGGCCAAATGACGAAAGTGTCATCCACATATCTCTTCCACAGGGAAGGGCTGAGGGTGGATGTCTTGATGGCGTCTGATTCATATTTCTCCATGAAAACATCGGCTATCACTGGTGATAAGGGGGAACCCATAGGGGTACCCTCATTTTGCTTGTAGAAGGTGCCATTCCAAGTAAAGTAGGTGTGTGGTGAGGCAGTGCTTAAGCAACGCCGGTACATCGGGGTCTAGTCCATGTTGGACCAAATCTTCGATTATTGTGATGGTATCAGGTACTGGGACCTTGGTGAACAGAGATACCATATCAAAGCTGACGAGGATATCGTCAGGAGACAGTACAATGTCCTTAACCATAGAAACCAATTGGGTTGAGTTAAGTACTACTGAGCTGGTCTTGCCAGTGAAGGGAAGCAGAGTATCTGACATAAAACGGGCCAGCTTGTATGTAGGTGAGTTGATAGTGGACACGATGGGTCGTAGTGGGGTACCTTCTTTATGGATCTTGGGAAGACCATAGAATCTGGGAGGTCTTGCAGCGGAGGGTTTTAGGGAGGGACATTTGGTTGGTTCAATTAGGGAAGTTGAACTAGTGATGATCTTGTTGGTTTTTATCGTTAGGCTGTTAGTAGGGTCATTTTTTTATTTTTGAGTAACTCCCATCATTGAGTAGGTCCTGGATTTTGTTGTTGTATGAGTTTTTATCCATAATTACAGTGGCATTGCCTTTGTTAGCCGAGAGGATGACTATATCATCTCTCTTTTTTAAATTCGCGAGTTCAGAGTGTTCATTTTTGCTGTTGCTAATGGGTTTCTTAGCATTCTTAAGAATAGTGGCTATTTCAGCTCTCGCAACGTCCGCTTGGATGTGTCCTAAGCCTTGGAGGGCTACATCGACCTGAGAGATGATATCCTCTACTGGTATATGTTTTGGGGTGACAACGAAATTTAGTCCTTTAGCAAGTACTGTTTTCAGATTGTCCGAAATCGGGGTGCTACTCTGATTAATAACGATTTTGTTAGCGTCTAGTTTTGTGATATGTGGTCCTGGGTTATTCTTTGATAGGTGGTTGAATTTAGAGATTAAGTTAGCTTTGCATTTGACTGACAGTGAATCTGCAGAGGCAACGAATTCTTCTGCTGTGGCTGATCATTGTTACAACGCTGTGGGTGATCATGATATTGTTTTCTCCGATACCAAGGTGCTCTGCAAACCTACCGGTTATTATCAGAGATTTGTCCACGAGGCCATCCATATTTACAAACACAGACACATCTTCAACCGAGAGGATGGTTTCAAATTGAGCAATCACTGGAAAGATGCTATAAATCAAGTCAAACGTTAGTTGCCTTTCAATTTTTTGTACAGCCATTTCCTTTTCTCAGTGGTTGTATATCAAACTTTAGCTACCTTATAATTGAACAGCCGTTTGCCACCGCTTTCAAAAAATGGAGCTGTTCACATGCAGCATGTCTCTTCCTCCCCCCGACCCCCCACGCAGCATAACAAAAGGTGGGTTTTACCCACTCTCGTGCAGTGCGAAGTGGTTGTTACCCGCAGCAGTCTATCAAAAAGCTGCTTAACCCAGCCCTCCCACCCACCCACGCCCCCTTACTGACTCCTCCCCCCCCCCCTTAACTTGTATATAATCCCGGTCGTCTCTGAACTGTGCTCCTGACACAGATATTCTGCGTTGACTATTCCACCTGAAGATGGTAGCTTGTGTTGCCTCCGAAACGTCGTGATTTAATTGTTTTCTTTCATTTTGTTTTATTTTACCTACGTGACTTTACCGAATAAAACCAAAGAGTATGAATCCTTGCAGTCACGAAAGCTTCAAGTCTAGAATTATTTCGCTGTGGACAGACACCCCACTGTCTCAAGTTCCACCAGCGAGCGTCACTCAAGGCACGCAACGACTCCCGACCACGTTTGCAGATCTCTAACATTTATTGTGGATTAGACAGACGCGCCGTGGGTCGGATTTACGGGACGTCGCGGCATACATTGATGGGAGATTGAGATCACGATGAAATATATAAGGCACAGAATTTACGATCAAATCAAGCGGAATGCGCCCGGCTTCCGTCACACATCAGAAGCTAAGCCGTGATTGAGCCTGGCTAGTGCTTGGATGGGTGATCACCGTGCGTAAAAAAAAACAGGTGTTATAGGCTGCTTCATAGCCGACGTCAGCAGAGACCGGTGCAGCAACATCGATTATTCTACCATACAACATTCCACGCCTTCACCAACCCGCACTGACCTGCGTAGTGAAGCACGGTCAAATAACCCCCACGACCCTCAATCCAGCAGTGGCTTGACAAAAAGGGCAATTACGTGTACAATATAAAGTGTTAACCGAGCCAAGTGGTGCCGTGGCAGTTTGACTCACAGTAAGAAGGTTGCGAGTACAGTCCTGTGCTGTGCATTAAAATCCCTGTCTGGACTCGACTCAGCCTCTCAGCCCAGCAGGGTCAATGTGTCCGACTATGCAGGGAGATATTATTACCCCCCGCCCCCTACCATGGGAATGTGGACTTCCCAGAGCTATACATTTTATGAGCTTTGATGACGTCAGTCTGGCACGTGTTGCACTGTGGTATCAATAACAGCCATTGACCTTGGGAACCCCGTACTGACCCCTGAGACCTTCACATGGGCCCTGCTTGTTGAGACGTCCATCCAAATAAACATATATTTTTAGTTGTATTGCTTTTTGGACGGAGACCATGAATCCCAGTGAAAACCCACAGACGTGAGGGGATAACGCAAGCTCCGCACAGGTATGTCAAAAATAAACCTACTTTTTCCTGTACTGCCTCCAATAGTCAGCTCATTGCCCTGCGGTTGCTCATCTCGTGCACGAGATGACCCCCCCCCCCCGCCCACCCCCTCTCTTAATCTTTGCCTGACTGGCCCAGGTTCACACCTCTTGCGCTTGCGCGCAAACTCCAGAATGTGCCATCGGTGGTGGCGGCAATCCAAGGGGGAAAAAAAAGTCGCTTAAAATGTTGACACCTTCCTCCCAAAACAATGCAAATTTGTACAATATCTCATATTCACACACATTATCAGATAATGTATTTCATCATTCGTGCACTGGACGTCGGTGGCCGTGGAATGCAGCTTTAAGACAGGCTACCAATAATGAGTGTGCATATTTTATGAAGATCTTCAACTACACAGGTGAAATCTGAGCAAGTACATGCAAGTGAAGGTTATTAGTTTACTGTAATTTCGAGGGTGGCACGATGCCTTTTGGTCGTGTGTGTGCGTGCGGATCGTGAAATCGTGGTACCGTGCGGTACGACAGCTTGGTGGGATCTTCATCCAGCAGTGGATTAAATCACGGCCGATGATGACGAGTGCTGTGTGCTTATCCGGGGGGGGGGGGGGGGGGGGGGGATACGTAGCGTGGGGGTAAAGGCTCCAGCGTGGTGTGTATGCCACCGCGCGTGAGAAGAAAGCATCCACTTCGCGCAACGGCTGGCGTGAATTGTTCGAGTGGTCACGCCGTTTACTGGGCTGCATTGAGATTCCAAACCACGAGCCCCGCGCAAAGTGAATAAGCAGCAGGCGCTCTAAGAGCGCTTGGGCTAATGAGCCCGAGGAGCTGGCGAAGCGGCAGAATAAATGATGACGCAATAACGTTCGCTTACAAAGGCGCTATTATGTCCGGGCTTGGGACAGATCAATTCACGTTTATTACCCCCTCTCCCTGAATCCGTCCGAACGGGCCTTCCTGGGTAAATAAATAACATAATTATAACTTAAAATAAGGGGATGGAGTAGTGGTGCAGTGGTTAGGGCACTGAGATATGAAGCTGCTAAGCTCAGTTCGATTCACGGCCAACAGCAGCAGCGAGTGATGTCTGAACTGGTCATGGGCCAAAACCTTCCTTTGTCAGTCCACTGCTGGACGAAGGCCTAATATCACACGGTGTCGGTTATAGGGGTTGTTTAAGCAGAATTCACCACGATGGTGAGTGTGGGCTAGTGAAGGTTGTTGGCTGTGGTGGGTCAAAACCGGTTTAGATATCAATCATGACTGATGTTAGCCGTGGTTGGGGACTGAACTCGGGTCACAGTGCTCCAAACCAATCCTTGCCTCCTGTAACTACAATTATAATGTATATTTGTATTATTATGAACATGATATAATGGTTGATCCAATATTAAATTAAAATGCAAATCGTAATATAAGCCTTGTAGTTGTTTATATATTTTTTATCGCGATGTTAATCCCACGAAAGAATCAAGAAAGTTTGGTCAATTCTGTTCTCCAGGATGGTCGGTTGCCCGACCGCATGCGTGACGTCGCGACACTTCAAACAATTCAGAGCCACCCGCAAACCCCCGCAGTTGAATCAACTTTGGGTAAAAATATAAATTCGAGAGCAAGATCATTTCACCTAAAAGCTACGCGTGATTTAAATCAATCGCACGGAAATGGCTCAGCGCAGAAAACGCGTGCCCTGCATGCCGTCGCACGTGATTTACAAACGCTGAGCCGATCAAAGTTAGGCTAAGCGCGGCGAGCGAAGGCATCGCGGAGAGAGGCCGCGCATCTCGTGAACTTTTCCCTCTCCGCGGTGACCGCACAGGCGAGGAGTCCTCAGGCCACCGCCGCGAGTAGAACGATCTTCAGAACGATCAGGCTGGCCACAGCCACGCGAGCATCCACGCCCGACGCACCTGCAAGCAACAGAGAGTTCGTTTGACACTCACAATTCAAATACAACCGCAGCGGGGCAGGGGGCAGAGGGGCGGTGCTTTGTCAGCATGCTATTTTGCAAAGGGGTGATTGTGCGGGCCCTAATGAAACGGAAGAATAATCGACTTCAAAAGCGTGGCCAATAGCGTAATGATCTGCGGTACACCATATTACACTACTTGCTCGTCCAATTAGGCAAATTGGGAGTGTTTGTTTGGAAATGCTGTATCTATCTTTGCCCAACTCAAACAGTGCCAGTGCGGGGGGGGGGGGTCTCTTTCAGAATTACTCGACGAATATGAAATATACATTTTATACATCAATTAATATTAAATTGGCTGTACGTGTACAATATTCGTAATCAGTAGCAAGCTTACTCGATTGCTGTAGGCTTCAGCTTTACACTTCCAACAATGAAGAGTGAATAACTTGATTCACTGGTGATGGACATTGTATATTTGTGTTTTATCAAACTTAATAAATTTAGAACTTCAGGCTGATGCTGCACCATTCGTAAAACCACTCAGCCTCTGGGCTGCAATGTTTAGGCGTTCAAATAAAAAAAAACATATTGGCTTTCATATTTTCCTTGTTGTAGCAGCATAGATTTGTCTAAATTCAGCTCTCTAGCCCTTCTAGAACACCAATAGAATTTATATCAACCACTCACTCAGTCAGTCACGATCATCGATATGCATTCGATGGAACAATTTACTGCACCCGTGTATCGTAATGCCACAAGTACTGTACAGCACTTTTTCAACACCACTGCTGGATGAGGGCCTCCCCACACCATGCGGGTTATTTGAATATACCTCACCATACTGGTCAATGCCGGTTGGTGAAGGTGTGGAGCGGAGATCTGGGAGCGCAGAAGTGCAGTACAACAATGGATTTCGCTGCACTTGTCCTCTGTTGTCCGGCGTGTAAACCCTGCATTCTATGATCGCCTACTGTGCAAAGTGGTCGGGCCCATCCGATTACTATCCAAGCTCAATTCCCCGCTTAGCTTCTGAGATCTGACAAGGTCAGGCGCCTTCAGGGCGCTCTTGGTCATAGGCCGTGTGGCAAGCAACGTTATGAAAAACGAAAAAGACCGAAAACTCTTTGACAAGAGCTACCCGCAGAGTAGGTGCCAGGTGTAGGGTAGCGCGATGGACAAGCGAGATGGTGCCCACTTGGTTCTCTTGTCATGGGATCTCGCTGAGAGTGAGCGAGCGAACGAGCGAGCGAGCGAGCGAGCGTCCGTAGTGGCGAGAGTTACCCGCCGAGTTGACGCCGCTGGGGAGCGACTTGGGCTCGATGTTGTTGATGACCCGCAGGAGCACGCTCCTCTGCTCGGGGCTCAAGGCGCCACGCTGCTCCTCGGTGGACGATGCGGAGTTGTCGGCTCCGAAAGCGAACAGCTGCTGCGGGGACAGCGCCTGGACGGCAGACGGAACACGCGTGGCGTTAGCCCGCAAGCGTCACCGTCGGCCAGGATCAATCCACTGCTGGTTGAAGACCTCCCCCCCGAGCCATCGTTATGTATGCGTGCTGAACTTCTTTCGCGCCGTACGTAGCCAACCGTGCGTGCTAATCGGAGGTGCGGGGAAAGGACAACAAACTGAACGCAAAAAGCAGTTCTGAAGAAATGAGTTTTCAATTTGGATTTAAAAGGACACAGCTCCCAGTGGCTTCCTAATATCGGAAGGAAGAGCGTTCCAGACGGACGCAGAAGCGCACGCGATGCAATTACCGTCTCTGTTCGATGGCTCGTCAAAAGCTGCCGCTGCGAAGGATGACCGGAGTTCGATCCAAGTCAGCAGATCCAAGGAGGGCGGGGGGGGGCAATGAGGGGGGGGGGGGGCGCTGCCCGATATATTTTTTTACTCTCAGAGCTAGAATTGATCCAATTTAAGTGCAGAACTAAATTCAATATGTTTTATTGTTGTTGCGCAGTAGGTGGTGACAGGGAGGAGCCCATAAACCCACTCCACTTGAGGACCCAGCTCGACGCCAGGTGGCTGCGCGAATTGGAGCCCGGGATATCGCTGGCGGTGCCGGCCAATTGGGCCGGCCGGCTTAGCCCTCTGACCTCTGAGCCACACGGCCGCCTCCACGCTTAATGCAGCCTTACCTTGAAGGCATCAAGAGAGAGAAGGGGCACGGCCGAGGGCTTGATGTAGGACAGGAGGCTGCTGTTTAAGTTGGACAGCTCAGCGGGTGTCAAGCCCCCTGGGAAAACAAGACAAACCAGCGTGAGTAATGCAAAGTAGGCTTTCTGTTTTTGTTATCACACACCTCTGCCTATGTCAATAATTAATTACGTCGCTGGACAGCCGCATTGATTTGTATGCTTGCCAATGAGCCAATTTGCACAGTCAAACAGTTCGATTCGTTGAAGCCGCCCCCAGTAATGTCTGCAACCGTTCCAAAAGCAGCCTCCTGGTTCTGAAGTGGACAGCGGAGAGCCCGCGGGGCATTGTTGTCGTCGTCGTGAGCGCAGCAAGCCTCTATGCCGCGTTGCCATAGCGGCAATCCGAAACCGTGAGATCCCACCGCAGTGTTGAACAGATAACCCGACTTGGAGTGTTGCCGTCTGGCTACGGTGATATTGAATTGGGTGCACCGGGAAGGTGGGGGGGGGGGTGATCACAAACCGCACCGGGAAATGCCATGGGCGATGCGGATGCCAAATTTGATGCATGAGTGGCGACGAAGACAACGACGACGACGATGATGATGAGGTGACGATCCGCGCTGCAACAGCGCAGGCGAACTTCGCACAACGGAACGCGTCATCGTGGACAGCCACTCGCCGATAGTCACTTCCTCCCGGTGGGATGACTAAGGTTAATTCTGCATCCGACGACGATCGACCTAGCCCTTGTAGATGTTGCCATATCCATACGACAGAAGAAGATTGCCGATTTGATGACGCAAAGCATTAAATACATTTTAAATGTGTTGTCCTCTCTCCCACTTTTAGGCGCATTATCCTATGGGTGCAAGCCTCGTGACGGAACGGAGGACCCATTCAGGTCTCTCGCAGAGCACTTGTGAGCGCTCCTGCCAGACAACGATCAACGGAAGCGGACATCACGGAACTACTGCAGAGATCGCTTCGCGTTGAGCGACCTCTGGTCCATGAAGTCAGGAGCAGCACTTTACCGCCCGCTCTGTTGCAGAGAGTAATGTTCCTATAAAACCTTAAGTAAGTTTACTGGAAAAACTTAAGCCCAAATTAAATAAAATATATATTGACCATGGCACTCGTCACTGCGGTAGTTCCGTTTACTGCTGTAATCACTCGGCCTTGCGTTTAAATGGAGAGATGGCACAGAACCAAACCAGAAAATCTGTTGAATCCTCCACATTTCACGCCGAACAAAAAACACATATAAATAAATAAATACATTTGAAACACTGGACTCGATGCACTCATTTGTCCACAGAATTGGGAAGTAATCAAATCCTGCGCAATGACATCTAGCTTTACACGGCATATAAGAGGTTGCATCAGTAAGCAAGCATCTAATAACGTCAGGATGTGTTCTCTACTCGTGTTAATAGTTCAATACATTCGACGTCTGTTCGTCGTCACCATTGCACGACTGAAATTTGCATCTGTAAATGTTCAACGCCAAATTACCATCACCGAGGTCTTGATTCAAAAACAAGATTTTTGCATCTTTAAATAAGTGAAGCAAAGCGCTAACGTGGGCCACTGCAGGCAACGTAAAACAAACCTACAAATAAAGCAGGCAAAGGGGGTTTGTTTACTCTGGAGTGAAATACGGAATCCATTGACTAATGGCGCTTTCTGATCAATGCGCTCCAATGTGTCGCATCGATCCCAAAGGCTCGCTGGGTCGATAGATTAAATTTATGTTTCCTCCCTACGCAATTCTTTTCTCGACGCAGTTGCAACAGGGCAGGGTAGAAGAACCCTGCGTTCACAGTGCCGGCAACGGGATCGTAGCAGTCGTAATAATAATAAAGGGTGCTTCAAAGAAATGTTAACACTTACATGGGACTATCGTTTTTAATGGAGAAAAGAATGGATAATACACTGTAACATGATAACAAATGTAATGCTAATAGCTTCAAAAAGTTAAAGAGTCTCCACTTGTTCGCCATCATTGTCAACACATGGCAGGAATCTTGTCCAGATGGTGATTTTCAGAGCCCGAGACACATTTACAGTGAGGGAAAAAAGTATTTGATCCCCTGCTGATTTTGTACGTTTGCCCACTGACAAATAAATGATCAGTCTAGAATTTTAATGGTGGGTTTATTTGAACAGTGAGAGACAGAATAACAACAAAATCCAGAAAAACGCATGTCAAAAATGTTATAAATTGATTTGCATATTAATGAGGGAAATAAGTATTTGACCCCTCTGCAAAACATGACTTAGTACTTGGTGGCAAAACCCTTGTTGGCAATCACAGAGGTCAGATGTTTCTTGTAGTTGGCCACCAGGTTTGCACACATCTCAGAAGGGATTTTGTCCCACTCCTTTTTGCAGATCTTCTCCAAGTCATTAAGGTTTCGAGGCTGACGTTTGGCAACTCGAACCTTCAGCTCCCTCCACAGATTTTCTATGGGATGAAGGTGTGGAGACTGGCTAGGCCACTCCAGGACCTTAATGTGCTTCTTCTTGAGCAACTCCTTTGTTGCCTTGGCCGTGTGTTTTGGGTCATTGTCATACTAGAATACCCATCCACAACCCATTTCCAATGCCCTGGCTGAGGGAAGGAGGTTGTCACCCAAGATTTGATGGTACATGGCCCCGTCCATCGTCCCTTTGATGCGGTGAAGTTGTCCTGTCCCCTTAGCAGAAAAACACCCCCAAAGCATAATGTTTCCACCTCCATGTTTGACGGTGGGGATGGTGTTCTTGGGGTCATAGGCAGCATTCCTCCTCCTCCAAACACGGCGAGTTGAGTTGATGCCAAAGAGCTCCATTTTGGTCTCATCTGACCACAACACTTTCACCCAGTTGTCCTCTGAATCATTCAGATTTTCATTGGCAAACTTCAGATGGGCATGTATATGTGCTTTCTTGAGCAGGGGGACCTTGCGGGCGCTGCAGGATTTCAGTCCTTCACGGCGTAGTGTGTTACCAAATGTTTTCTTGGTGACTATGGTCCCAGCCGCCTTGAGATCATTGATAAGATCCTCCCGTGTAGTTCTGGGCTGATTCCTCACCGTTCTCATGATCATTGCAACTCCACGAGGTGAGATCTTGCATGGAGCCCCAGGCCGAGGGAGATTGACAGTTATTTTGTGTTTCTTCCATTTGCGAATAATCGCACCAACTGTTGTCACCTTCTCACCAAGCTGCTTGGCAATGGTCTTGTCGCCCATTCCAGCCTTGTGTAGGTCTACAATCTTGTCCATGACATCCTTGGAGAGCTCTTTGGTCTTGGCCATTGTGGAGAGTTTGGAATCTGATTGATTGATTGCTTCTGTGGACAGGTGTCTTTTATACAGGTAACAAGCTGAGATTAGAAGCACTCCCTTTAAGAGTGTGCTCCTAATCTCAGCTCGTCACCTGTATAAAAGACACCTGGGAGCCAGAAATCTTTCTGATTGAGAGGGGGTCAAATACTTATTTCCCTCATTAAAATGCAAATCAATTTATACAATTTTTGACATGTGTTTTTCTGGATTTTTTTGTTGTTATTCTGTCTCTCATTGTTCAAATAAACCTACCATTAAAATTATAGACTGATCATTTCTTTGTCAGTGGGCAAACGTACAAAATCAGCAGGGGATCAAATACTTTTTTTCCCTCACTGTATTTTGTTGTTGCAAATTCTCGGAAGTGTGAACATTTTTTTGAAGCACCCTGTATTGATGATGACGCTTCGATTCATTGACAACGAAAATCGATTCGTAAGCTCACGGTGGTGGCTACGCTGCTGCACGTGGCAGACGTAGCCCAGCACTGTGGAGGCAGCAGCGAAGGTTGGTTGATCACCACCGCACGAGAGAGCGACACAATTTTGCGGATCTCCCTTCCCGTGGCCATCAGGGTCCCATACTCTGGGTTCGCCTGCAGAACGCAGTACAGGTACAGCAAAGTGTGGGCTGATGTCATCTGTCCCTTCTGTTTGGGACACAGTGTTGCTCCTTCGCATGTGGGGGGTTTTTCCTTGGGTGCTGCGAGTTCCTCTCAAGTGTACAGTGAACACTCACTCACTGGCTGAAAACGCCTTAATATATATGTAACTGCAGAGCAATTGTTGGTGCTGTGGTTCCCACTTAGCTGTTGTGAAATGCAATTTGCAATGAACGACTATAACATATAAAACTAATCGTTATATTTTTTTTACACATCAAATCGTGTGTGGATAAGAATACAGCAGATACTTTCCAATGCGTACACTGTTATATGTTTAATCTAATGTGTTCGCGTGTGCCCTGCAGCTACTAGAGGCCGCTACATTTACCAAATTGGAGAAAAAAATATATATATATCGATTATTTTGATTGGATCGTGACGTTGAATTGTGGAAATGTATCAATTTGTTGGCCGTCATGTGGTAGTCGTGAATTGTCACGCGCCTGCCGTTATGGGCACACACCGGCCTCATGCAGGAGGTGAGCACGTGTGTGGGTGGCACGCATGACCGCTCGATATGTATCAACACGATGGGATCGTCACCGACAGCTTTGGGAAGGGAGCGCAGATTGAGCGCGAATGCCAGCTGCTGATGCTCTTGTGTTGTGCAATGATATAAATATAATAATAAGAATAATGATTATACTTTTGAGCAATTTGGCAATCCACTGCTGAACGAAAAATCACCCCATGCCGTGTCACCTACAGTGAGGGAAAAAAGTATTTGATCCCCTGCTGATTTTGTACGTTTTCCCACTGACAAAGAAATGATCAGTCTATAATTTTAATGGTAGGTTTATTTGAACAGTGAGAGACAATAACAACAACAAAATCCAGAAAAACGCATGTCAAAAATGTTATAAATTGATTTACATTTTAATTAGGGAAATAAGTATTTGACCCCTCTGCAAAACATGACTTAGTACTTGGTGGCAAAACCCTTGTTGGCAATCACAGAGGTCAGACGTTTCTTGTAGTTGGCCACCAGGTTTGCACACATCTCAGGAGGGATTTTGTCCCACTCAGCTTTGCAGATCTTCTCCAAGTCATTAAGGTTTCGAGGCTGACGTTTGGAAACTCGAACCTTCAGCTCCCTCCACAGATTTTCTATGGGATTAAGGTCTGGAGACTGGCTAGGCCACTCCAGGACCTTAATGTGCTTCTTCTTGAGCCACTCCTTTGTTGCCTTGGCCGTGTGTTTTGGGTCATTGTCGTGCTGGAATACCCATCTACGACCCTTTGATGCGATGAAGTTGTCCTGTCCCCTTAGCAGAAAAACACCTCCAAAGCATAATGTTTCCACCTCCATGTTTGACGATGGGGATGGTGTTCTTGGGGTCATAGGCAGCATTCCTCCTCCTCTAAACACGGCGAGTTGAGTTGATGCCAAAGAGCTCAATTTTGGTCTCATCTGACCACAACACTTTCACCCAGTTGTCCTCTGAATCATTCAGATGTTCATTGGAAAACTTCAGACGGGCATGTATATGTGATTTCTTGAGCAGGGGGATCTTGCGGGTGCTGCAGGATTCAGTCCTTCACGATGTAGTGTGTTACCAATTGTTTTCTTGGTGACTATGGTCCCAGCCGCCTTGAGATCATTGATAAGATCCTCCCGTGTAGTTCTGGGCTGATTCCTCACTGTTCTCATGATCATTGCAACTCCACGAGGTGAGATCTTGCATGGAGCCCCAGGCCGAGGGAGATTGAAAGTTATTTTGTGTTTCTTCCATTTGCGAATAATCGCACCAACTGTTGTCACCTTCTCACCAAGATGCTTGGCAATGGTCTTGTAGCCCATTCCAGCCTTGTGTAGGTCTACAATCTTGTCCTTGACATCCTTGGAGAGCTCTTTGGTCTTGGCCATGGTGGAGAGTTTGGAATCTGATTGATTGCTTCTGTGGACAGGTGTCTTTTATACAGGTAACAAGCTGAGATTAGGAGTACTCCCTTTAAGAGTGTGCTCCTAATCTCAGCTCGTTACCTGATTGAGAGGGGGTCAAATAATTATTTCCCTCATTAAAATGCAAATCAATTTATAACATTTTTGACATGCGTTTTTCTGGATTTTGTTGTTGTTATTCTGTCTCTCACTTTTCAAATAAACCTACCATTAAAATTATAGACTGATCATTTGTCAGTGGGCAAACGTATAAAATCAGCAGGGGATCAAATACTTTTTTCCCTCACTATAATGCCATCCGTGTTAGTCATGGGGAGCTTACTAAACGTCCCCGGTTCAGGATTTTGTAGTGGGTTGTGGGGTAGCACGTGGCCCTTTGAGCAAATAGGCCACACGCTGTGCGCGTGGGTGGCTAGCGGTTGAGTGGGCGTGGCCATGTTAAGGTGGGCGGCGGTAGGTTTAAAGTGGGCGGGTTCATGTTAAAGTAGGCGGGGGCTGACGGACGGCGGGAGGTCTGCTGACAGCTCACTAACCACACGCGTCCTGGTCGATCCTCATCGAAAATGTGGTGTCGTCAATCTCCCCACCTGCTATGTTTCCAACCTCGTGCAGGGTGGACTCGGTCCACGTGCTCACAAAGCCCAGCGCCTCGACCGCTTTCTCCTTGAGCGCTCTGAGCACGATCCTGTCGGAGCAAAAGGCTCCTCCAAGAGACGCCACCACCGTGCTACGAGAACAACGAGTTCACAAAGGGGGGGGGGGGAGGGGGGGGGGGGCGGTCAGAGGCTCGTAATGCACACGCATCGCTGTTAGGTCTCGCAATAATAACAACAATAACAACAATCATCTCTTGCACATCCGTGAAAATGAACTTTACAGCTCATTGGATTCCACCAGTATAAATATTCCGATTCTGATCATTTGCAGCCCTTTGGTTCGAGGCCTCCCCATGCCACATCGGTCATGGCAGTGCATCGACCATACTTCACCTTGCCGGTTAGTGCACATTGGGTGAAGGTGGGGAGGACCAGTCCCAATATCGCTCGCCACGTTGGAGTTTCTCCCCTTATCCCAAGCTCGAACAATGGCAATGTGCAGATTTATTTGGCCGAGTGGATAACAGGAGGGTGGATGAACGGTTACAGCTTCATATTATAGTATGCTCATGATTGACACAATGACCCATCGTATTCTTGGTCCTTTCGGTAAAGTCACGGAGAAGGGAAAAATAAAATAATACATCTCACGACGTTTCGGCCACAACGCAAGCAGCCGTCCTCGGGTGAAGAACAGAGGTGTCGGAAAGACAGCGTCCTAATGAACACTCTGTTCTTCACCTGAGGACGGCTGCTTGCGTTGTGGCCGAAACGTCGTGAGAATTGCATGTTTCATTTTTATTATTTTGTGTTTTCCCTTCTACGTGACTTTACCGAAAGAACCAAGAATATGAATCCCTGCAGTCACGAAAGCTTTAAATCGAAAATGACCCTTCATCTTAAACGTAGAGGGAGAGCAGCGGGAATGACTGCAATTTGCAAACTCGTGCCCTAGAGAATAAGGACCTCACCAGGCCCAGAGACTTTATCTTATCCTCTGCGTCGAAGTCTGTCGCTTTCTCTGCATTCAATAAATGAACATATAAATGCAACATTAATACTTTTCCCAGGATGCCTACGTCTTGAGACGTGATTGCGTTTAGATTGCTATCACATCCAAATTGGCGTTGTGACGTTTTGTAATTTGCCGTAGTTCCGTAATGCCTGTTGAGATTTTAATTTCAAATGGATAGCGCGATAGAGTATAAAACAAATAAGTCGTGTATTATCGTGTTATTATTGTACCTGTTTAGACAGAAAAAAGCCTCACTTAATCTTAAGTCTCTTTTTAGGGGGGGGGGGTTCTGTCAAGTTTTCACATGAGGGGCGATGTTCTGATGTGCAATCCAAATCGGAGTAATTCAGCAGGTATTCACGATGAAGGTTTTTTTTTGGGCTGTATCGCGTAAACATATCCGTCAGCCCCTTATCAGTGCCTACCTTATTACAGACCAATTCAGACCTTAAGTGAACAAAACGTGCGAATTCGGGACCACTTCAGCACACACCGATATGTTGGAAGCGTAAACCCACAACATTTACGATTCGAGTACGACGTTTTGCTGGTGATTACAACCAGCTTCGTCAGGCGTTTTGCCTGACGAATATGTTGACGGCACATTTATATTCACATGATCTCACCCGAAAACCTTTATTACGAATAAAAGTGGTCGCGAAAGCCCACGTGTTAAATTAGCGGGTGCATTTCCAGCATCGTGACGTTTGGCCAATGCCGGTTACATTGTATGTGGGGTTTTTTTTGTTTTTACCCGTGGGAGGCAACTTGAGAGGCCAGATGAATCCTATGCATAACAGGGGGAGGAAATATAGAGTCCACATGGAAAGGCACTCGAACCCGGAATCGAACCCACAACTTCTTGCAGTGAGGCACGACTGTTGCCACTGTGCCAGCATGCCGCCAATTTATAACTATTGTTAGCTTGAATATTTTTTCTATTTCACAACAGGATCCATATATGTACAAAACGAATTTATTTATGAAAAATTACCACATTGTTGCCCTAATTGCGCTATCAGCGTCACGGCGTGAGATGAAGAATCCACGCAGATCTCTCGCAGAACGGTTCTCGGAAGCAGACGTCACGGAGTTACCTCTGAAATCTCTGTGTGAGTCATCAGTGACTGGGCTGAGACCATCAACTCACACAATTTGTGCCCAGCATCGCAGTGGTGCCGGCTCTGAGCTCTGACCTCTAACCCACCAGGCCATCTCATCAACGGGCTTCAATTAAATTTATATATATGAGAAAGAAAAAAACTCACCTGAAGACCGCTTTAGGAATCTCCTGGATTTGTGCCTCTGAGAAGCCACAGATGAGGTTGCCTTTGCCAGCGAGCTCATCCTCCTTCAAGTTCGCAGGAGGGTACTGCTTCAGGAACTCTTCGACCAATGCCTGCAACGGACAACACAAACGCGCGTGGTCTGTGCGCGTGCATTTTCAGCACTTGGGTTGCGTTACCGATACACGCTGTGCTCAAGACTCCTGTAGGCGTTCATTAGAAGCTAAATTATATTTTAAAAGGCTTTTGACCTGCGGGAGGTAATTCCAGAGTAAGTGTGATATGATGACGATGATGGTGATAATTTGTTGCGATACAAGTAACAAAACCGAAACAGATTGATAATAAACACTGCCCTATAAAATTACCCTAAGTGGATGTCCATGTCCCATAGTGGATTTCCATGTCCCACACAGGCCAGCTATGTGCAATGAAGAAGGGTCACCGACTGAAACGTCGCACATGATATATATTATTTATATAGTGATGATGAAGACAAGCATGAGTGCATATCGTTTTGTTTCATCATTGTACTCGGCTCTAACTGGCGTTGTTAAACATCTCACTTTATCGTATCTTTACGTTGATTAGTTGACAGCATGTGGTACACATTACACTTCATTTCAGCTCCGCTTTATTTTCATTTCCACGTCTGAATTATTGACTCACCAGACGTGTGAAATATCGTCTTTTCTTTGCATTATGAGACCTGTTATGAATGAATAATGATGATTATGGATTGATATCCATTTTGGAACAAAAATATATATCATGACGACGATGATGATGGCAGCGGTGCTTAGCTAGCTTTGGCAGGAATATAAACCAACATCTCACGCATAATGAAGGATTTGTGATGTACTGCAGCGTATCGCGAATTCCCAGCAGTGAACGCTAGAAGGCAGCACGTGTCCACCTTGTAAGCAATAGCCGATCCCCATCAAGTAAAACAACCCCAGTGCAAATAAATACTTCTTTTGTGGAACTCTTATGGCTATGCGAAGGGTCGGCAATCTGCGGCTCTGTTCATCCTTTTAAATATCTATCTATCCAGATATTTGTTTCGTCCATCAAGCCTTTTGGGATTTCCGGAACCAATGCAATCCAGCACTATTCGTTTAAACAAGGAAAACTCCCCACTGGTTTCACATCGTTGGGGATCTCATCGGTAATCATGGGTGGTGGTGGCGCTGCCGAGTGCAAGTCCAACAGCCACCCCACACGCCCCCCCCCCAAAAAAAAACTCCAATGGGCCAGGCAGTAACAATTGGTCACCGCCTGTCGCCCGGCAGTGAATGACGTGCAACCTTGCTCGGTCTCCACTCGGGGAAGCTCGCGAAAGCCGTCACGGTCTCGGCGATGCCGATGCTCAGCGCCGAGAGCTCCGTCGGCGTGAAGTTCAGCGCGATGTATCCGAGCGAGGAGAACTGCTCCGCCGTCCAGTTCGACAGGACCCCCCATGCCTGGTGGTGGTGGTGGTGGGGGGGGGGGGGGTGCGGAATGATCGTGCGTGCGTGTTAAAGTCAGGGGGGGGGGGTGGGCGGTAGTGCAGCGGTAAGCACGCCCATCAACACCAAGGGACGATTGTCTTAACCGGTCCTGGGCCTCCCCTAGATCAACTCAGCCTCAATATGAGTACCTAGTGCCGTGCTGGCCTCAATAGGCGCTTCGCTAAAAGCACTCGCCCCGTTTGTCTGGTTGAGGCTATGCGGGGGATCTTTTGACTTTACGTTAAGGTCACGTTCATAATTCTGGAGACGCTCCACCTGGGTTCTTCAATGGCCATTGCTGTGCCGCTGGGCTAACGTCTGTGCAACGCAGACCCCCCCTCATCTCTCCTGTTCATCTCTCATCTAGACTTCCTCTGTCCCTCTTAGCTCTCTGCGGTTCCATAACTCGGCAGGCCACTCGTGTGGACTCCGTGGCCCAAGTCCGGCACTCTAGCCACCAGTTTAAGAAACCTTTCATTTCTGTTAAGGCTAAACAAATGGTGATACGTCTGCTGCCGCGGGCGCGGCAGGCACGGGCAAATGAAAAACAAAGCTAAGCACAAGTGTCATTAACGCTATCTTTTCGTTGGTCAATTTTTTTAAATACATATTCGCAGGGCCCCCAAAGCGTAAAAGTGTGATCTCCGAATGGAAGTCAGTAAATCATGTTGCCCCCTCCCTCTCTGTGCTCTGAGCAAGGTCCACTGCCTGCAACATCAGCCTCCTCTATTACAGTATTTGCTGTTCAAGACAAAGATAATGGCGAACGTGGCGATTGATATATCGTTGTGGTTACTATATTCTCAGAAAAAAACCCCCACTTTCTTCTCCCCTATTTTAATGGAAAGAATTGGGGGGGGGGGGTGAGTCTTATAACCCCACACTAGGCGTGTGCATGTCTGCGTGTCTTTGTGCGATCAGATAACAAAGATATGGGGAGCGGTCGTGGGGAACGATAGTGTAGCGGTTAACTGTGTGCGCGACCCGGGGTTCGATTATCTGAACGGGTCCTGGGCCTTCCCTAGGTCGACTCGGCCTCAAATGAGTACCCGGTGCGGTATGTAAACATCGCCATTGGAAAGACAAAGGCGGCTGGGCGTGGTCCTGGCCACCCACCACTTCGTGTGCCATGCCGGCCTCCATAGGCGCTCGCTCACGGCAACTTGCCGCGACAGTTCTGTTAAGGCTACATCGGGGGGGGGATCTTCGTCGATGTCAGATTTGTGCAACTGGGTCACGCAAGAGCCCGTGGGATGGACGGGGGTCATCCTTGGTGCGCCGGGGGTCTTCACCGTGAACGACTTCTTCTTGAGCGCTTCCAGCTGATCGCTTTTGAACCCCTTCACGGAGCCCAACACCTCCACTGACTCGATGAAGGTCTGGTTGGTGATGCAGGCCAGAATCTCCGATTGCCACTGGGAGTTGGCCTCCTGGAGATTCGCGATCGTCTCCGAGCTCGGGCACACTGCGCGCAATGCACGGACGCGACGCGAGACCGTTACGCCTCGCCGGTCATCACGAAACGTTTACAAGACAAACGGCAAAAAAAGGGGTGAGTAGCGCAATGCGATGGCAGGTTTTAAAGTGCAACACCGTTCTTGAAACAGAGGCGATATGCCGTGAACATGACGCGGTTACACCGTCGCATCTTTGACTCTTGTCGCGCGGAGCCTAATGCGTAAAAATGAGTCACAGCTGGTATCAATGTGAAAGCAACGACACGTCACCCGGCATGCGGCGTCACACTGCAACTGAGATGCTGCGAAGCTGTTATACAATAGTCACGAATCAACCGGGGTGCATAGGAGGCGCAGCGGTTACCGCACTGCCCTGTGGACCTAACCACCGGAGTTTGACTCCTGACGTGCCGAACCGGTCATGAGCCAACCGGCACTGACCAGCACGGTGAAGTATGTTTAAACAGCCCCCCATGACTGACGTGGTGTGGAGTGGCGGGGGGGGGGGGGACCTTCATCTGGCACAGTGGTGTAGCTTGCGAGTTTACAGGCGGTGCAACTGCGTCGGGTACCAAAGGGGCCGGACGGGCAGGAAATTGCACAGGGTGGGTGTGGTGGACGGGGCAGCCCATTTCATTAATTGCACCGGGGCCCTTGCCAATCACGCTATGTCACCGACCACGATCTGTCAGTTATCATTATAATGATCATTATAACGATAAGGGGCATACATCGTAAGGCAAGGTGCGGTAATTCTCGCGGCAGCAGCGGCGGCTTTTGGCTAACCATCGAACAAACAAGGCCACTGCATTGCGCGCTTTCAGATACGCTTCTGCGGCCGTCTGCGAGAAATGCACTTTGAAATCTAAACTGAAAACTCATTTCTTTAGAACTCTCTTTTGTGTTCACTTTAGTTTGTTGTTTCCCCGTCCCCCATCGCGCGCACCTCTGATTAGCACGGTTGGCTACGTACGGCGCAAAATACGTTCAACATACGAAGACACACATCAACGTACGTACATAATATTGTGGAACTAGTTGTCAGATGAAGTATCATCATCATTTCAGTTCACGATTCCCCAACACCTACGTGTGTGTGTATTCTCTCGGTGGGGAGCAATAGTGCAGCGGTTAGCGCGCTGCGCTATGAACCTGGCGACACGGGTTCGATTCCCGCACACGGCCAACACCAGTGACGATTATCTGAACCGGTTCCGGGCCTCCCCTAGGTCTACTCAGCCTCAAGTAAGTACCTGGTGCGGTGTGTAAACATCGCCACTCCGGGAGACAAAGGCGTTCGGGCGTAGTGCTGGCCACCCACCCACTCGTGTACCGTTCTGGCCTTCATAAGTGCTCGCTAACAGCACTTGCCCCTACAAGTCTGTTAAGGCCATACGGGGGATCTTTATCTTTGTTTTTTTTTGTCTCTCGCTGATTCCCTTTCTAAGAGAGCGTTTATAATCGTGGGGGGGGGGGGGGCGGGGGCACACCTATGCTCCTGCGGCTGCGCGAGGCGAGGCTTGTGGTCGTGGAGTCGTAGTATTTCCTGGCGAGCGCCGTGAGGTCCAGCGTCGAGTTGAAGTCGGGCTGCGTGTCGTTGATGGTCGGCGGATTCGCCAGGATGCTCTGCAGGGCCTCTGCTACCGCCGCCTGTACCACCCCCAGTTCGCCGATTATAGCGGTCGCTCTGACACACGTTTTACTATCATCGTCATCATCATTGCTGGTGTCATCATCGTCATCATCATCTTAATGACGGTTCTTTACTTACTCGTCAGTGCTCAAAAGCTAAGCTAACCTGGATAGGGCACATAATGTGTATACATTGCAAAAAATGTACCTCCAAAACTGAAAAACTAACAAAAAAACCCCACATGTTTTAGGTCATTTAGCAATCAGAGCCACTGATTATGATTGCGTGGAGCGAGTTGGCGTACAATGCATCAAACTCATGCATTGCAAGTGAGGACATCATTCGGTCACCTTTATTGCCAAACAGAAACCAAAGGTTCATAATAAACATTGTATCAGACCATGAACCCAATCCAGGACACCCTGCCGTATAAATTACACATTCATACCAACAGCGCTACGGGGTGGGTTCCAATTCATCAAAGCTGTGGAGAAAAAAAAACAATTTAGCATTGAAAAGGGAAAGCAATTATATGAATACTCATGCGCGCGCTGGCGCAATCAAAAACCTCACGGGGGTGTGCCGCATTCGCTTGACGGCAAATGATGAAATTTACTTGCGCTATTTCCAGCAGGATTCGCATGTGTGCGCGGGTGCACGCCCGTCATACTCGCGACCCCGGACGCGGCGTCGGCCCCCGAAAACGCGCGGATCGTCGGCCGCGCATTCCGCTCGCGAGTCACCGTGCTGTTGATGGAGGCGATATTTTCCGCGCTCAGTGTGGCCAGCAGAACTCCGAGCTTGATAATAGTATCCTCGGACCAGTTCGATGGAGCCCTTGTAATGGAATGGGGAAGAAATATATATATATGTGTGTTACGAGAAAGATTAAACCATAAGCACTCGTTTTGATTTAAGGCTTTCGTGACTGCAGGGATTCATATTCTTGGTTCTTTGGGTAAAGTCACGTAGAAGGGAAACAATAAAATTATTAAAAAAATATTATTTTATTTTACCGAAAGAACCAAGAATGTATACATCAGCACGAGGATTAACGAGAAAGCTGCAGCAGAAAAGTTGGAGAAAAGCGTCACAGCCAGGAGAACATTTACGTCACAATGTTGCGGGGAATTTAAGGCCCGCCTACGAAACGCCAATTTAGCTTAGCTTATGATTATAGTTTGTCATTTGTCTGTAGTCTGTAAGGAAGAATATTGATGATTCACTCAACGGTTCATTAAAAAAAAACCTCAACATTTTCAATATACTCATCAATAACGCTGAGGCCTCAATAGGCAAAGTATATAACAGGCGACGTTTTGGGTAACAGCCCTTCTTCACAGAGGTAGAGTGTCATTTTTGTATAATTGCCAAAATAAGTGTCACCCATTAATTAGTTATTTAATTAATAAAAATTGCCAATGTCTCTCAAAAGGCCATTCGCGTGAGTAAAGGTGGCAAATGTAATCCTCCGTTCCAGTACAGAGTGCAGAATAGCGCTTTGGTGATTCTTCAACATCGTCAGCGTTTATCACAAGCGTACCGTTATTTCACGAAGTCGAGGAGGGGGGGGGGGGGGGGTGAAACCTCACGAACAATTTACAAGAAATGAAAAATCTCCCGACAGCCAACATTTTTATTCAACCAAACAGTGAAAGGGCTCTCTATTGATAGCTGTGGTGCACAAGCACAAATTATTCAATAGATACATAGAGATATACATAAATAGGCTCCTTGCCACATTGAGAAAGGCTAATTTCCAAACCATCAGCCGATGATGCATTTTGCTGCTACCATATTCTTTGGATTTAGGAGATGCTCCAGAAAGGAAGAGTCACCCCCCCCACACGACGCAATACTGAGCAATGGAGATGACTCGATCCACGGATATAGAAACGTGCATTTAGATAATTTTGCTGTTATGAATTCCCACGTGGCAAGCCCACTCTGTTGGGCTATTATTTGTGGCCAGGTTGCTTCGGAAAAATAAGTTCATACCTCAGTGGGCTTTTCCTGGTAGGATAGGGATGGTTGCGTTTTATTCGTGTTTGTGAGTGATTTTTTTAACCTTTCTTGTACTTTGCACTCCTATCGTGTGTGTTTGTACTGTTTGTTGTAGCGACGTTCTTGCCCACCCCTACTGGAGATCTGTGACAAAGAGCTTTATAGCTCCTCGGATTCCTCCTGCAGTATAAAAACATTGCCAATAAATAGACACAGCGATTTAACCCGCAAATTACGATCCAATTTTTAGCCGGCTTACTGGATCGACTGGGGCGTAGCATCGATGATACCATTCGCCCAGGTTCACCATCCACAAAGGCCCACACACGGCCAACGGCACGCCTACACACACGGGGGGGGGGGGCAGATCTCTCCCGATGGGTGACAATTTCGTCCAAGGCGTCCTCATTGTATTTCTCCTTCAACAGCGCCGTGGAAATACCACCGGCGAGCAGTCGTTCGTTTGTTTGTTTGTTTTACCCGAAGGCCTGCCGCATCTTGACGGCCACGGCGTCCTTCTGGGTGCCGTTGAGCTGCAGGCAGAGCTTGAACTGCTCGACTGCCAAGGCGAATGCCTCGTCGGGCATGGCCAGGATGTAGCTGGCGGGCAACATACACACCAGCTGGCCCATCAACTCCACCTCCTCCACGGTGGGCGCCAGGCTCGAGTTCTGCACGGGTTGAGAGGAGAGGTGGTTGCGTTTGAACGACGAAAGGCAAATATTTACCACCACCCCCCCCGCCCACCCCCCGTATAGCCTGTAACATTCTCTTGGGGGTAAGCGCTGCTTAGCGAGGAGTAGCAGCAGAGCCTATGAAGTAGGGCTGAACGATTTGGGGAAACTATCTAATTGCGATTTTTCTGACAGATATTGCGATTTGATTTGCGATTACATTTTTTAAAAGTCAAGCTTCAGTTCAATATTGACTGTGTAATAGATTTAAAACATGTGATGGAGCATTACCACATGATACCATCAAAATATGAACTGCTCTATATATTCTAATGCAAGGATGAGAACGTCTAAGATATGAATTGCTATTTAAAGCTTTCGTGACTGCAGGGATTCATCTTCTTGGCTCTTTCGGTAAAGTCACGTAACTATACCGAAATAACCAAGAAGATATGAATTGCTTCCAACATGTATTTATATAATATAAAAAAATAGAACAATCAAACATAGAACAACCGTTAAGTTAAATAAATAAAGTTATAACAATAACAAAATAAAACAATTCCAATACGAAAGTAATAGGACTTTTCAAATCGAAAAAAATCGCAGCCTTTGCTCATCGCGTTGTTTCAAATTGCGATTTCGATTTGAAATCGATTAATCGTTCAGCCCTACTACGAAGTCCCGGAGCGTCGCACACGAAGGGGGTGGGTGGCCAGCACCACGCCCGGCCGCCTTTGCCTCCCCAGTGGCGATCTTTGCACACCGCACTGGGTACTCGCTTGAGGCTGAGTCGACCTAGGGGAGGCCCAGGACCGGTTCAGATAATCGTCACCCGTGCTGGTTTGAAGCGCAGCCTGCTAACCGCTAGGCTACTGCTTCCCACACACACAACAATGACATTCATCTATTGTATAGCATTATTGACACACACACGATGATACGTATCTATTATATAGCATTTCAGATGAACAACCACTCATGCACAATGACAAAGATCTCACGTATAGCATTACTGACTGGCACGTACACAATGACAAGGCGCTAACGTACAGCATTATTGACACACACCCACACACAGTGATAAAGAACTGTCATATAGTATAACTTACACACACATACACACGTGAGGATAACGATCTGTTATGTGGTGTTACTGACACACACTCAATGACAACGCTCAATCATTCAGCATGACTGAGTCACTCTATGATAAAGATCTATTATATGGTATTACTAAAACACACACAAATACCCAATGACAATGATCTACTCCACGGCATTCGTGACTCGCACATGCAATAATAGAGATCTATAGTGGTCACCTTAATGACACTATCACACGCGCACACAAGGAAGACGGTCTTCCATTAAGCTTTACTGACTCACACACACACATGCATCGACAACGCTCTTACAGAGATATTAACCGACTTGCACACAACACGCACACATAAAGAGACCCCCCCCCCCCAATACAGCCCTAATGATTGACAAAGACAACGTATTCCCTGTGTAGGCTTTCGCAAACCGTTGGGACGAGTGCAACTATTAGGGGTTCGATAAAAAACAGGAAAGTGGTTTGGCATGCACCACTCGACAATCTTTTGTATTTCCAGCGCTGATGTTAACACATCTAAACTCAACTAATAATGACATTTTTATTTTATTTTACCAGGTAAGGCCCACTGGGCTACGTAGATATTTTTCAGAAGCGACCTGGTCACAAATGATAGCGCAACGAAGTTGCTTGTCACGTGGAATTTGTATAGCAGCCAAATACTCCAAACGTGTGTTTTTAAATGTGGAGGAAAAAAACCCGGAGGACGTGAATACAAAATCCACGCGACCATTGGAATAGCAACTCCGAAAATACAGCAGGTGTCAGGGTCGGAATCGAACCCACGACCTCCCGTATACCGGGCGAGGTAGTTAACATCTCGCCACCGGCTTAAATAAAGCCGAGACAATCTAGAGAATGCCACCCTGTTCATTCGCCGAAAGTTCAATTACATCGCGTAACGAGAATAAACAGCTACAGAAGAATTGCCTCTGGCTTGCAGGACATAAACGCATTGGCCCACACTTAGGCCCGGATGCCTTATCAGCAACTTCATGAAGTCACAAACTGTTTGAAAGCTTTTTTCTCTGAAATGTCCTGGAAGTTCGCCAGCATAGGGCACATACACACACACACATCAAGCCACCGTAGGCTCTCGGCTTCTGACGGTGCTCCCGTACGTGGCCACGCTTGTTACTGGTGCTATCCACGCACGGTTTTTATGGACCTGCAAATCTTTATTACACGTCAGTGTTTAACAAAATGCACCTTTTTAACGGGGGGGAGGGACTCGTGAGGAAACTGTACAACAACGTCGTGTGCCAATTGTTTTAATGCTTTCATCCATCTCTCTTTAATGGTGAGATGGGCTAAAGGTTACCCGTTGAAAGCAATTTGCCCGTTGTGCCGCTGTTAACACGAGGCACTGCATTTGGAGTCGTATTTATTTAGACCGCCGGCTCCGGTATTACTTCGGCAAATAAGACGCTCAAATGGTGGCAGTGTTTCAAGGATCTAACCCCAATGTCCCCGGGGCATTTTCACAATTTCGATGGATGTAAAAGGTCTGAGGGCAGAGGAGCAGCACGTTTACAACTTTAAGGTCTCGGGTTCAAATCCAGATAAAGTTCAAGTAATCCTTTCACTGAGCCAGGGGTCACTAAATAAATGGATGCCGATTGGTTTTTCGATGGACAAATGCGAAATTCCCACCATTGGGTTCGGGGTCCGGCCGCTGTGATGAACACCGCTCGCCCAGCAAGAGTGGACGTGTCTCGACGATGCATCGGTGCACCAATTAACATCGATGATTGCGCTCAAGATAACGCGCACCGAATTCCCCGTAAGAATTTGATCACGTTCGATATCATGTGTGTTATTGTTTCGTGTTACCGACTGTTGGGGAAAAGCTAACTTCCGGGCTTGTTCAAGACGCGCTGTGGGAATTGACGATGGTCGATGGGGGGCGAGACTGGTGGCAGAATAGCATCCAAAGCGGGTGGGGGGTGACTGAATGGACGACCGCTGCCGAGACAGAGCGATGGGATTATCTCGTGTGTAGGAGCGAGTACGGATTGTGGCGTCCCGTGGGATTGCATGGGATGGGGAGGGCTTCCATCCAGCACTGACTAGGCAAATGGCTATTTTTATTTTTCCAGGTAAGGGCCACTGTGCTATGAAGCTCTTTTTTCAGAAGCGACATGGCCACAAACGACGTGGCTTATAACGTGAAAATGTATAGTAGCCAAATACGTTAAAACGCATGCTGACTCTGTATGCGGAGGGGAAAAACCGGAGGACCCGGAGAAAAATCCATGCGACCACAGGGAGAAAATCCACGTGACCATGCAAACTCTTAATATACAGAAGGTGTCGTCAGGGTCGGGATAAAACCCACGACCTCCTGTATACCGGGCATGGGAGATAACACCTCCTAGTCACCATGGCAACCTACACACCCAGCAGGTTTTGGCGACGGAGATGATGTCTTCTCTGAGCGGGGTTCTCTTCGCCAGGATGTGGACGTCAGCCCTGCCCAGCTGCTGCGTCAGGTTCCCGCACAAGGCCATCGGAATTTTCTTCAGTTCTCCAAATCTGCAATAGCGGCATTCAATCATTGGACATCTTAATCATCGCCAACCATGATTAATCTACTGCTGGATGAATGCCTCCCGCAAGCTGCAGATCCACATCTCGCTGTGCTGCAGCGTGGCGATCCATCCTCGTGTCTGCGCATCAACTGATTCATCGCTCCATCTTAATGGTCATGTAAAAATAAACAGTGCTTATGCTATTGACAGATTCAGCCATTCCATGTGAATGTGGAATTTCCTCCAACATGTGATGGTAATCATCAGTGGCAAACAATCAGTGAACCGGACCTAAATAAACCCCTTTACCAATCAGTTTAACCGTTGGCTTTCACAACCAATATCATCCATAATAAAGGTTTTTTTGTGTCAGATCGTATAAATATTCTTTGGGTCTCTCGGTAAAGTCACGTAGAACAAACATTTTTAACAATTAATCTGTAAATTTTAATATGAATTCCCGCAGTCACGAAAGCTTTAAGTCAAGATTCAGATCGTGTAAATATAAACGTGCCCCTTCACTGATCCACACTGAGCAGCACTCTGAAGTATGGACAAACAACCGCCATGACAAATAGCGTGAGACGGCTTCAAATTCAGTAATTTTTGCCTATAAACACCTGGCAGTTAACCTAGCGTTAGTTCAAGCAAGCCCCACTCTGCTGATGAGACACTTGAGTATCGAATCCGATCCAGAGTTTGCTGGGTTTTTTAACCAATGCTGCTGAAATTATGCACTCTCAGAAGGCCGTATGGCTGATGAAATGTGTTAAACAAATAGCGTTATATTTTTTACATGATAGGCAGAGACTTGGTGATTCGTGGTTATTGTCTGATTATTCAGCAGTTTAGATCATTTGCTATGTGTGATAACATTCAAAGACCACTAATGCACTTCTGTCAAAGTGTCATGTGACCTAAAAGATTAAATTCCACGACGTGCAAAGTACATACCGTACACGATAGAGAAACGAACGGTGAAGAGGTGGGTACGTACAGTGCCGGATTCTCCTAGTAGCAAAAGTAGCTACATATGTGGTAGCTGCGGGCCCGGCACTTTCAAGGGCCCCGCGCTAAACGCCTTCAAGCTATCAATTCCAGGTTCAGTGATTCTGCACTTGCTCTATTACTACAGTACTATACTGCCTTCAACTTTTGTGAACGACTGGGTGTTTAAGGTTAGCGATTTGTCGTATTATCTGGCTATATAGCAAATGAAAAGATACAATTACTTTACTATGCAAGTTAAACATTGATGTATTTTAATGTGACGTGTTTTTATTTTATTTAGGGCCCCTTAATACCATATGCTATAGGCCCCGCACTAGCTTAATCTGGCACTGGGCACGTACGGTAGCTGTATGAGGAGGTTGGGAGCAACTTGGCTCAGCTCCTCGGACGAGATGTTGGAAAAGTAGTTGCTCCTTGTTGTGTTCAACCACGAGAAAACTCTCTGTGCCAGGCATTTGAGCTGGAGAGAAATGCAACACCTATTGGTTAGCCGGTGAAAGATCACACTACGACCGCCACCACCACTACCACAAAAGACAAAGATCCCCCGTATAGCCTTTACACATGCTATTGGGGTAAGTGCTGTTAGCGAGCACCTATCAAGGCCGACACGGCACACGAGGGGGTGAGTGGCCAGCACCACGCCCGACCGCCTTTGTCTCGCCAGTGACGATATTTTTACACACTGCACCAGGTACTCATTTGAAAGTGAGTTGACCTAGGGGAGGCCCAGGACCGGTTCAGATAATCGCCAGAGGTGTTGGCCGTGAGCGCGCATCGAAAAGCAGGTCGCCGGGTTCGTAACGCAGCACACTAACCACTGCGCCACCTCCCCCCACACATAGACACAGACACACACACACACACACTTTCACTTGGTTTCTCCAATAGCCTGCCCAATAAGCCATGTCAATACTCCAGCGCTGTCCTACCAGACAGTCTCGTCCCTTCACCTGATGAAGGCCGCTTGTGTTGTGGCCGAAACGTCGTGAGAATATTATTGTGTTATTTTATTTTATCAATTTATCATTTTATTCTCATTCTACGTGACTTTACCGAAAGAATCAAAGAAGATGAATCCTTGCAGTCACGAAAGCTTTAAATCGAAATATTTAACAAATTGAGCAAAGCTGGTGTCAGAACATTTCTTGGCTGACCTGCGCCCTGGACATCAAGTCTCGCCTGCTGGCCAGGCTCCCGGAGCAGTGCAGCAGCGTGCTGTTATCCAGCTGGTTCAGCATGCCGCACGTGAGCCCAGAGGATGCCGATGCCATGGTCCTGCACGCCGCGCCACAAAGCCATATATCGCTGCTTAGACTCATTCGGTGGACCCTGCGGCGCGAGGTGTGGAGGGGTGGGGGGGGGGATATTGTGGCCGCAAATGCCACCTGAAGCCCCAGCAATGAGGAGCAGCCCACTGGATTTCACTGTGGTTCCTTCCATGCTGTTCCAGGTGACCCCCCACTAAAACTAAACTACAGTATTTTTTTTTTTTTACCAGGTAAGGCCCACTGGGCTATATAGCTCTCAATTCAAAAGGGACCTGGCCACAAATGATAGCTCAACGAAGTGGCTTACGTGGAAATGTATAGCAGTCAAATACTCTAAACGCATGTTGACTCTAAATGTAGAGGGGAAAACCCGGAGGACTCGGAGAAAAATCCACGCAACCACGTGGAGAACATGCAAAGTCCAAATATAGAAGCGTCAGAGTTGGGATCGAACCCACGTCCTCCTGTATATCTGGCGAGCTAGGTAACATCTCGCCACCATGGCGCCTACAATTATATCCGGCCAGGTGTTGGCTTAGCAGAAGGTCGTCGACTTTAAATCTTGGTTGGGTGTTTACTTAGCCCATCACCATCATCATCCCGCTGGGATTGATCAAAATGAGTACCACTTCGTGGCGAAGTCAAGATTGGTTGATCCATGGATACACCCACACCCACTAGAGGAATGTGGAATTTTCACCACTGGCTTAGGGCTGTAAACGGAAAATGAACACTGCCGCAATGCTCATTTGAGCAGAGAATCACCGAAGACATCCGTGGACCCCTATTAGACAATTTAGAGGAGTCTGGAATGTGGTGGGTCGTTGGGTCAGAGTGGAAGTTGTGCTGTTTGCGTAACTATCTGCCCTCTGCTCTATTAGTTTCCATGCCGACTTAAGCCCAGCGCTTAACTTCCGACTGAATATATATTTTGTGTGTGAGCCGCTGGTAGAATGAACAGGCTGCACGTGGCGAGCAGCCACAGCCATAGCGAGAGATAAACCTAATGTGGTGTGCCGAGCATGAAACAGTATCTTCCTGGTCACCGACCCAGGCACACTTGGTTGAAATGAAGCCCTGCTCTAAGCCTATTGCAAAACCTTGACTTAAAACTTTCGTGACTGCAGGAATTCATATTCTTGGGTCTTTCGGTAAAGTCACGTAGATAGGTTCAAAGAAAACTATTTTTTGTTATTTTCTTTGACCCTATCTACGTGACTTTACCGAAAGACCCAAGAATAGAATAATACCTATTGCAAAAGGGAGTCAATTTCAGACCAATGACAACTACAATTGTCTTGCTGCTGTGCCCTGTTAACATTGCATAATTGGCAAGGTGTTATTGTAAAGCAAATATTTCATGGTGTAATTAACAAATTTAATTACTCATCAAAAGGATGAACAATGCAATGTCCTACTTGACCAATACAAATTACACTTTAGTGCTTTCTTATTCTTGTGCCCAATTATTTAAACCATTTATAAATTACAGCCGATGAAAAACCAATTGAAAATGTAATTTTAATTCAACAAGTTGTAATTGAAAATGCATTCACCAGTGTCCTTTATTTAATCAAGCGAGAGCCCGCAGACAACCATCGACTTTGCAAAAGGGAATAACGAAAGCCCATGACGTACTTAGAGATAGCTTTAACTGCGGGTTTGGGCCAATGTTTCACGGACATAAACAAACGTGACTGTCAGGTGTGGAGCCAATCTCAGTGTTGCTCAAAAGCCAGTCGAGAGAGAGAGAGAGAGATGAGGCTGGAGGGCCCTTTTTGAGTTGTCTCTTAAAGAGTCGGTGTAGTTTGGTGTTCCTCATTGTGAAGGCCCGCAGCTCACTTGTGGCCCCAGGTGGTCTTTAATGCGCCCCCAACAATACACCCCCTCGTCGTGCTGTCAAACCCCAATGGTTTCGAATGTGTTGCGGCCCTCACACCGATGTCCTATCGGCGAAAGTGGCCTCCCTCTCTGAAAATTGGTGAAGAATCTACACACTGGTGGAGATATAATGTTCGATGGCGTTCGAGACGATTTGGACTGCCACGGAGAAGTGTTGCCTAGCAGTGGCGATCCTGGTCCTTGGTGTAGAGATGAGGAGGAGGAGGAGGTTGTGAGTCACGCTGCTGCTGCTGTTGCTACGGAAACTTATACCGTGAGCTGTAGTGCAGGGTGACGGGAGAGCGGAGAGAGGTACTGTGGACGACCGAAAGTCGAGGTTTGGCAGCAGAGGCAGGAGATGTTGCTGATGGGAAGCCAATGTATGACAACAGTGGTGATAATGATTTCCCAGATAATAACTTGCCCTATCGTATTAATATTTTAAAGATGTATGTTAATCCTCTGCTGGATGAAGGCCTCCCCATGCTGTCTCAACCATGAGGGTTATTTGAACATTTTTCACCCCGCTGGACAGTGATGGTTGAAGGGGTAAGCCCAGGCCTGGTTGTAATATCACTCACCACTGATGTTAGCCGTGGCTGGAAATCAACCTCAGCTGTAATTAAACAGCAAGTGCGCTAACTGCTGTGCCACCACTCCCCGGCTGTACAATCTTAAATGGCAATGTGCAGATAACCAACAAGGCTGCCCTTACTTGATGTCTGCGGAGGAAATGGACTGTCCATCCTTTAGGAGTTTCTTCAAGAGGAAAAGAGCCTGTCAAGAAAATGGAAAGAAAAAAAACATTGTCGAGTCACGGCCAATGTGTTCAGGTCGATTGAAACACCCGTCAGAGGCCGATTACCGCTCACGGTTAAAACCACGAACGAACGAAGCCGAGGAATGGGTGTTGAGTTGCGTCGGCGCGATGCAGATCACAGTACCTGGCCCTTGTTCCACAACTTGTTTTCGAACGTTTTATTGGTGATGTTGGCAATGTTTCTCAGCCTGACGAGAGAGATTGCACTCACAAGGGACCCCTTCAGGTAATCCAAGGCCCTAGAGATATTGACTTCTTCAATGATCTGGGAATTGCAAAAGAGGCTTTGTTGTTGTTGTTGTAACAAACATCGAGACGTTTTGTTTTTTCTAATGAGACGCGCACACAGTGCTTAAATTTAACCGTGACCATCGCCTACAACCAGATCACCGGGGTTGTGCCCGATCTCGTCAGATCTTGCCACATCTCAGACGCTAGGCAGGGCTGAGCATGGACATTGCTTGGATAGGCGGCCAAGAGGCACAAGCGGGTTGTTATAGGGTGCTTGCGGGCGCGTTGCCCAGCTCGAGGGTAGTGCAGCGAAAGCCAGCATTGTACAGTACTTCTATGCTCCCACATCCAAGTTTACCCACCAAAGTCCAGCAGTGGATGGAGAATAAGGAGACTTTAATTTATACGCAGCGCTGTCAAGCAGGAAAGATATCAGGTGGCACCAAAGTGCGACTGTGGCCATCCAGAAGAGACCACTACAGCACATAACGGCACACTGCCCGATCCACAAATACGAAGGAGATATTACAGCGATACACTCCGCTACTCCTGAGACGGTTATCTGGCTTGACCACCCCAATGTAAAAAATGTCGTTGCTGCTCAGCATCTACATGAGCCATATGCGACAACAACAAGAATCCCACAGTGCACTGCATTGAACTTCCGGGAGTCAATTACATTTGTCACGGTCAAATAATAATGATGATGATAATAATAATAATAGCGAAAATAATAATTTCAGCTTGTAATGTCGCCGCACGGTATCCGTTTGCTCTCGCAGGGAGAGGAGGGAATGACTCGGAGGCGCGAGGAGCAGCCATAAGGCGAGCGGGGGAGGAGTGGGCAGACACGCGGTGAGCCGGCGACAACAATTGTCCAAGCTCTGCTGTCCTGTATATATATACGCGTTCAGGTGTTTTCGGCCTATTAACGAGTGTTGCCGTGTGGGGAGGGCACCCGAGCACCCGGAGAAAAAGCCACATGCTCGTGAAGGGGAACACGCTCTAATCCCGTGCGGACCAAAGAGGTGCAGTCGACTGTCGGTACTGCTGCCCGTGATTGCTACTCCCGCCGCTGTCACTTGCCAAAGCGGTGTGGGGAAAAAAAAAATTACCGTCTCCGATCAACCAGAGGACCACAACGCATCGTCTTGCCTTGGACTGCTCTCTATTGTGAATGATATTGTGCGAAAAAAACCCCCCACTATTTCTAGATGTTATTGCTGATTTTGCAATGAAAACATCTCCAATGTTTAATTTTCTCTCACCTCATGCAACAACAAAAAAAACATTGATAATATGACTGTGCCTCTCTGTATATATACACTCTGTCTATCCTTGCGACGTGAATATCTTTATTCAAGAAAATATCTTGGTTAAAAAAATGTATCATACACACAACAGGGAACATGGTAAAATATTTATTTTTCGTAGGCCCTTGAATTTTCGTAAGCCCTAGGCACAGTGCCTACTGTGGCCTCTTGGAAAATCCGGCCCTGGGTCCTCGCTTAACGTTTTTAACCCGTTCCACGAAAACTACTGTTAACCATAATAACAGTTAATCGAGCACAGGAATTACATGGGTCTGCAAGAGAGCTGTTTTCCACTGCCAATACAGAAAACCTCAAGTAAACTGAAAGCCAGTCGAGGTCTAAACAGCTCACAATGGGTTGTCGCTTAATTGGCCGAGGGCATGCGCTCAGCCACACTGAACTAACGCTCGGATAGGCATCACGTAAACACACCGTGAGTCAAAATGTTTAACGCGAGTCGAAACCACAGGAGTCCTCTACGGGAGGCGAAAACGTTAACCGCAAAACAAAACAAAAATAACCCCCCGTTAACCGATGTCGCTGTTAACCGACGGACTATTGAACTGCAATTCGCCTGGCCCAGCCCAATGCGTGTGTGTGCCGTGATTCACCAACCCTCTCTGCTGCTGCTGCCTCTACAACCGCGCTGGGTTACAAAGGCAGCCACGTGCAGCAGCAGCACCACCACCACCATATCCACCACCCTCCTGGCTTCAGGTGTATCGTGCCAGCTGGCAATGAGATGACTTTCACGTAAGGGCCGTGTTGCAGCTCGAAAGGCAATAATCGCTCACGTGCAATTTTGCGATTCGTAATTAAGTGAGTCGTAATGGGAAGTCAAACACACGATTGCAAATGAAAAATGGTCACTTGCAAACTATTAGTCAGTATTTTTATCGGGGGGGGGGGGGGGGGGGAGCACCGCTATAAATACTGGAAAGAACAATCATCCGTCATGAGGGAGTTGCTGGCTACCCACCCGCTCGTGTGTTACTCGCGAACAGCACTTCCTCTAACAGCCTGTTAAGGCTACACGGGGGACATGTGTCTTTGTTGTGTAAGTGTGTACTTTTTTATGCGTAGTATATGTGTGTTGTACGTATGTATGTATGTGTGAATGGACACAATGTGTACGCACGTGTGTGTGTGTGTGTGTACGCTCATGCATACACAACTCTGCCTCAAATGAGTACCTGCTGCGATGCATAAACATCGCCACTGGGGATATAAAGGCGGCCGGGCGTGGTGATGACCACCCAACCCTTTGTGTGCCGTGCAGGCCTTCGTAGGTGTTACTCGCTAACTGCACTTGCCCTAACAGTCTGCTCAGGCTACACAAGGGGATCTTTGGCTTTGCTTTTTTTTATGCGCATATATGCATATACGCGCCCATATGCCACTCTTGGTCTCTTGGTAGGAAAACTGTTTGCCCCGTCGGAAATGTTTAACTGGAGTGTGCCACTTGTTGCATACAAATTCAGACATTTCAGGTAGGTGATGCAGTGGGTTGGGATGACTGTAACGGGTGGATCATCACCACGGTGACCTCTCACCTTGCTGACGATGGCCTTCTGTTGGGAAGGCCTCATGTGCTCTGCCTGCAGGGATAACTCCTCCGTCACGTTGAGGAGCTCCTTAGTGGGTATCTGCCTCAGAGTGTTTGCGTCGATTCCTGCCACCAGGGAGCCCAACTGCCGCAGATCAGCGGCCGACGAGATCTGAAAAGAAGTCAAAAACTACTGGGCGCCGCGGTGGCGAGATGTTAACTACCTTGCCTGGGTATACAGAAGGCCGTGCTTGGATTCGTTCCCGACCCTGATGCCTGCTGTATATTTGGAGTTTGCGGTGTCTCTCTCCCCGTGGTCATGTGGATGTTTCTCCAGATACTCTGGTTTTTCCCTCCACATGTAGAAACGTGTTTAAACTTCAGGGTATTTGGCTGATATAAAATTTCCACGTGATAAGCCACCTCGTTGAGCTATTATTTGTGGCCAGGTCACTTCTGAAAAGGAGCTATATAGCTCAGTGGGCCTTACCTGGTAAAATAAAAATAGTTTAATTTCTCATTTGGACGCTTTATAAATTCAAGTGATTTTTATTAGGTCTATTAATATTAAGGTTGGCGCACACAGTGAGAGTTAACAAAAGTTAGGATGAAAAACTGTGTGGAATATAATTCTGTGATAATGGCAGGCGCTAGCATAGCAGAATTATTACACTTTAAACAAATTCCTCTTCATTTATTAAAATATGAATTACCGAGCCCGAGCGTAGTATGAATACATAATAATTACACGGAGACACAGACCTATTTATCACGGTTAAGTTCACCTCATTGGAAATTAATTTTGTTATTTTACATTTTTCATGCACTCGTCAATTTAAGTGCCTCAAGTTAACTTTCGTACACTTGTTTTGGCAACACCGTCTTGGGCCATTGTAATGCTGGATATGAAAGTCTCCCACCATTGTGCCGGTCTTGAGCATTGTTTGACCATTCTTCATCATGCCAGTAAGTGCTGATTTGTGAAGGGGAGGCCCCAAGAGACTGGTTCTGATGTCCCTCACCTCTGGTATTTACCGTGGCCTGGAATCGAATTCAGGTCGGTGGGTTCAGAGCCAAATGCACTTACCATTCCGTGAGCACTCCAGCCCTTTGGCAATTCCGATTCCGCCAATACACAATTACAGGGCTTCCCAAACTGCAGTCCTCACGACCCAGCACGCCGCGTCTTTCCGTGTTTAGCAATTGAATCCCCGTTCCAATTGTTTTCGCGCGTCACGTGGGAGGTGTGTAACAACCATTGGGCGCGTGCAGCGTTGAATCGAGTCGATTTGCATCTGAAGGTTTGAGGAATGAATTGGTTAAAAAAAACGCAGAGAGATGGAGCAGCGTGATGGTGGGGCCGCCAAGACCGCGGTCTGGGGGAACACCCCTGCACTCGGAACCGACGCGACACGTCGGCCTCGACCGCAGAGAGAGAGCGCAGCGCGTCGCGTGTTGCCGGTGCGAAAGGAAGCTCACGTTTTTGCCAGAGGCGAGGTACTTGGTCACCAGCAGCTTGGCCTTCCCCCTGGGCCACGCGTCCATGCTTCCCAGCTCGCCGATCGCATCTCGCACGACGGTGCTGCCCATGTCCAGGAGGCGAGTCACCGACACCAACTGCATGGCCTTGCCCAGCTTGGTGATGGCGACGGCGTCCAGCCTCGCGCCCGTGCCGTACGTCCTGGCGACCATCTGGTACAACTGGGAGAATGGGAATCAGAATATTAATTTATACCGGAGGAGGAATCCGATGAGCTGTGAAGCTCTATTTCACAGATGTCCAGTCGGGGTGGGTAAGAACGTTATAACAACAAACAGTACAAAAGCATGATAGGAGTGCAAAGTACAAGAAAGGAAAACAAATCACCCAAACTCATGCAAATGAAACTAAACCATCCCCATCCAAACTAGATTCAACGCTTTCGCGACTGCAGAAATTACTCTTTGGTTCTTTCGGTGAAGTCACGTAGAAAATAAAATACCCAGAGAGATACACAAAGACACGCCGAGACTGGTTTAAAGCAAGAGCATCGCAAGTTTGAGAAAGCAAATTGAGTAAAATTAACAAGTGTAATGTAATGCATCGCAGAGAGTCGGCTAACGCACAGTTAATGCATAACCTGGTTAATTAAAGTTCTCCCAAAGATGACTAAATTAGAAGTAAAGTGTGAGTTGTGAGTTATAAAGTGTGAGTTGTGAGAAAACCCTCCCCGTAGAGGTGGTTCAAACTAGATTCGAAGCTTTCGTGACTGCAGGAATTACTCTTTGGTTCTTTCGGTAAAGTCACGGAGAAAATAAAATGCCCACTTCCCACTACTCTCTCTAAATTTCTCCTTGCTTGTCTGTTCCACACTTAACTGCTAATTTAGCAATCTTTGGAAGAACTTTAATCAACCAGGCTATGCATTAACTGTGTGTTAGCCGACATCACCCTGCTGCTGCTGCTGCTAAATGGACCGGGAGCAAAAGGAGAGCCTCACCATTCTGGCAAATTGCCCGATGAAGCTGGATGTAATTACCAGCGAAACGTCGTACTTAAATTTTTAATTATGTTGATTCACTCTTCAACACACCGGTGGGCTAAAGTAGTGAACTCTTCGTCCTTTGTAAACGTGACACATTTTTGACTGTTTGGCCATGTCGGGTGGTGGAGGGTTACGACACATTTATAAATAACGCGATCTAACCCAAAAAACCCCTTTATTATGAATAATATTGGTCGCAAAAGCCTACGTGTTAAACCGACCCTCTGTGTTGCATTGCATTACACTTCTTAATTTTACTAAATCTGCTTTCTCAAACTTGAGATTCTCTTGCTTTAAACCAGTCACGGTGTGTCTTTGTGTGTGTATCTCTCTGCATGTGAGTATGTTATTTTCTACGTGACTTTACCGAAAGAACCAAAGAGTCATCCCCATCCAACAAGACAAAGCCCACTCAGGTATAAACTTATTTTTCAAAAGCGACCCGGCCACAAATGATAGCTCAAAAAAGTGGCTCATCATTTGGGCATTTATAGCAGCTAAATAACCTAAATAGTCTAAAGACATGTTTCTAAACGTGGAGGGACAAAACGGAGGACCCGGAGAAAAAATCCACACGACCACTGGGAGAGAGAGAGAGAGAGAGACACATAAACTCCAAATATACAGGCGTCAGGGTCGGGATCGAACCCACAACCTCGTGTACACCACGCGATGAAGATAACATCTCACCACCGTGGAGCCCCTTAAATAAGTAAATAACGTATATAAGTTCAAATTGCATCATCAATTCCCAAGCTTCGGAAAGGCAGTAAAACAACAGCAAAAACAGCGCCAGACCACACCAAGAGATGGGATGTTCGTCTGCGGACGCCGCCGCAGCTTTTCCAAAACTTCCTGGCGGTGGCCCCGTTAAGGGTGTTTGCATAAGGGGCTTCGAGTTGCGCTGAAATTATTTGTTGTAGTCAGTAAATAACACACTCGGCAGGGCTGTCCCTAAATAGTTAATGACACACAAGCAAGGTACAGGAAGACCAGCAAACATGGCCTCGGGAATGACTGTGCCTCTGGTAAGGGTTGCAAGAAGCCCCGATACACGGGGACGTAATTGACAGGATCAGCTAAAAAAAACTTCGGAAACCTGGCACACCTCTGGTAACCTTGATATACAGCAAATGTAAACACATTCACGGGCGCTCATCCAAAGGAAAATACAAATCAGAAAACAAGCATCTCTCGTGTGTGTAGATATCAGTACCTAGGCGGTGTGTTCCGAGCTGACGCGAGTTTTAAGCATCATTAATGACCAAAAAAAGCATTTAAAGTTGCGGTCAGGCGTGGTCTATTGACCACACTGCAGTGATCTTGTATTGCATGGGAGTGATGCTGCAGTGACATCATTGGAGTGCACCAAACCGAAACTTACGGAGATTCAAGCACTTGTCAGACAGACCAAAACACACAGTCCAGGTACATATCTATGAGATAGGAGCTTATTGCTTATTGAGCTGCGTATTCCTTGACTTAGAAATTATACCAGGCGGCTGTCGGTGGCTATGCACATGGCCTGCAATCCAGAAATGTTGAGGCAAGGGTTGGTAGATCACTGCACAGATTTGTGAAACTTCCTCCGTGCCCGTGGGAATTTGTGGCTTGACAGGTTACGGTAGTACAGCAAGTGGAATAATTTATATTTGTATCTCATCTCTCTTAGGGGATTGTTCATTACCCCCCTCGTACACGTGGGGTTTTCTCCGGGCACTCCGCGTTTCTCCCACTGACAAATGGAGAAGATAAAACATCCAAATATAGGACCACAGAATTTGGGGCAATTATAGGCACCGTGGAATAACTGAGCAACGTTACAAATTCTGCATTAACCACACGTGCTTGTGGTAAAACATGCAATAAACGTACTCTGATAATTATCATTATCTTAAACGTATTGGCCTATTTCATTGCGAGAAAGTGTAAAACCCTATCCTTATTTTTTTCATACTTTGATACTGGCAAAAAAAAAAGGTCTCGTAGATATTCTCCGGCGGTTTTTGAGACGCCATTTTGCATCAACGACATTGCGTTCAAAGTAAAAAAAAAATCCTATGATCGCTCTCTCTAGATTTTAGCCCCAAATATAATCTATATATATATCCAATCCACGAATAAATATGGGGTGGCGATCGGGCAAGATTTTGCAGCACCTTGTCTCGTTGGGTCGCGCACTGCTGCAGATTCGCCAGCAGCTGGTCGGTCACATTGTTGTTCTTAGCCCACGTGATATTGGCGCCGCCGAAGAAGCACGTCAGCTGGCCCAGCCTGCGGGTTGAACGCGTGACAGAGCAAGAAGGTGTCAAGGTGCGATGACGCCGAGCATCGTCGACAATTCTAAGCGCTTAAATGTATCGTTGAGATTAAAAAAAAACGAATACAGGAGGTGGCCAGGTGACTCGGGGGGTCAGAGCTCCGAGCCGGCACCGTCGATACCCTTGGTAGTGGTAGATCTCTCGCTACATTTCCTCCTCAGCAGTCTGCCTGCTGTATATCATTTATTTCACCTGAAGACGATGGCTTGTGTTGCTATCGAAACGTCGTGATTTATTAGTTATTTTTCTATCTACGCGACTTCACCGAAAGAACCAATAAGTATGAATTCCTGCAGTCACGAAAGCTTGAAATCAAGACTAGAAAGCTGTTTTTCACGCATGTCCAGTAGGGGCTAGTCAGAACGTTATAACAACAAATAAAAGAAAAACCACGATAGGAGTGCAAACTATAGGAAAGGTAAGCAAATCACAAAAAGTACGATTAAATCTGTCATGACAATAGTGCCTGCATGTGGTGTGAGTTGACTAGTGGCCACGGGAGGTAATGACAGGGGAGTCGGCCTACAGTGTGGATGCACTATTGGTCATGGCAGGTAATGACAGGGGCATCAATTGTGAGTGCGAAGGGAATGGTGGCAACGGGAATGATCGAGAAGGGAGCGGTGGTCAGGTGATGGAAGAGGACGGCGGAGTCTGCCGGTGGAGCGAGCATCCAGAGCCAGCGAGAAGGTTCGGGAAGGGGGGGCGGGTGTGGCCTCGTGTCGGTATATAAGGGAGATGCGTGGGAAACTCGGGGCTGTTGCAGTGGGGTCTCCACCTGATGTCAAGTGAACGTGTCGTCAATACAGTGCCGTCTCAAGAGAAGTGTGTCAAGTCGTCATTACAAATCAAAACTTTTCATTTTGCCAGGTAAAGCTCACGGAGCTATTTGCTTCTTTTTCAGAAGCGACCTGGCCACAAATGACAGCTCAACAAAACGGCTTATCACGTGAACATATTACAGCAGCCAAATAATCTAAATAATCTAAACGCCTGAATCCACAACCCGAGTTCAATTTCCGACCACGTCTAATGCCGGTTTGGGAGTGACATCCGAATGAATCCTTGGCCAGCCCATTTCCCCTTCCTCGAAGCGCGCACTGACCGTCATGGTGAAGAATGGCAAAATAATTAACCATCTAGCAGTGGATCGACAGAGGGATGCTAATTATTTTATTATTATTATTACTACCGTGACTATCAATCATACCAGATACAATATGTCGTAGTCATGAATGTAACCGTGCGTGTAGAATACTAAACGATGGAATCTTAGGGGAAAATCGCACAGAATAGATACAAGGTGGAGGTCACATTATCTGAGGTGCAGTGCAGGAGACTAATGAAGGTTGATTACATCTTTGATGGTCTCTGTTGGCCCCCAGCGTAAGACAACCTTAGATATAAACTGTTGTTGAACCCTAATCATAATGTTGTACAAATTAGTTTTCAATTAGTCAGGGCACGGCTATCATCACTGGTGACTAATGTCAGAGCTGTCGCTGGAAACCCAACCTTCACCAACCGGCACAGACCAGCGCAGTGAAGTATGGTCAAACAACTCCCCTGACCAACACGGCATGGGGGAGGCCTTCATTCATGCAGTGAATTGACAAGGGGCTGAAAATTATTATCACTTCATTAAACTATGCCCACAAAAATATTTCAGTTATGGTCACCTAAACTTAAAGCGAGTTAATTTGTTAAATTGTGGATTTTTCCTTTATTAAACTGTCTAATAAGAATGAAGAGTTTTGTTTTTATTAGCCACGAAAGCTTCAAGTCAAAAATGAAGAGTTTAGTCACATTACCATGTCATTGATGTCGCCAATGTGCAACGCTGGTAAATAAAAAAAAATATACTTTAAAATGTCAAACGTCTCACTGCATATTGCAACCTTCATTCGCAGTAAAGCTCCAAAGAGTTAAAAGCCTGAAGAAGTATTTCATTTTATGATGGCATCATTCAAATTTCATTTTGTCATTATATATTCATAGCTATCCATAGCGCATGCAGATATCGCTGATTGGACGGGCCACGTTTCTCACCTCTGTAGAAAGGCTCTCGGCACCCATCTGTCCCTGCAGCTGTCAAGTTTGTCCAGCAAGATCCTGGCCAGCAACGGTTGTAGGTCCGTCAAGTTGCCGAGAATCTCCACACCCAAATTGTTTTCAAGGAATTCGCAGATCTGGGGGGGGGGGGGTGTTCAACAGATGTGTCGTCACGATGTGCTGCAGTGGTATGCCTTTGGTAAAACAACTTTAATACGCATTAACAACAACTTGCACGTGAGTACCGTATGCTCCACGTAATAAGACATGCTGGGATTTTTTTGTCCTGCATTTAACAGCAAATGTTGGTGGTCTGTCTCATGTCCGGTAGTTGTGTGAGTGTGACCAGATCTGTATAACTTTTCTGACACATTTAGAGTGTGTCTTCCTTTTTGGAGAATCTTCTAATCTGGAGAAACGGTATCCAAAGTGCCGCATTGTATTGTATGTAAAAATGCATTTGTTAAACACTGCAAATCACAGTCCTATTAGGTCAGCAATATATAATCATGCCAAAAAATGTTTTATGCTCATAAACATAACCTTGCACCAGGGTAAATGATACAACAAATATATTGCGACAGAAACTGCCCAATCGGAACACTTTGTTTTAGTGACCAGGTGACATGACAGAGCCTTCCCCAGGGTGGATGTGAGACAGAATGACCTGCAAACGTACAGGAAAACATCGAGAGCCATTCGTAATGAACCATTTCACACATCTACATGTTTCCAGGATTGCATATCCAACAATCTCCATTATAATACTTATTAAGAATTAATGCCTGTGTTAATTACATGCTGTTTGGCAACCAACGATGCGTTTTCAATGTTTACTATCCTTAAATTATTCAATCAACCACATGCTTTCATTGGACAAGGTGAAATTGCATCGAGCAAGAACACTGCGTGAAGCTTGTTTTAAATATTCACTTGTGAGAATGTTAGGGTGTAAATTATAAATGAAGATATGTATATCTGAAAAAGCTGCAACGGTGACGAATTCTTTAGTTTTCATTTCACGGCGATCGCCGTGAGTGCGGAGTAAAGCTCGCTTTATTAAAGCTCAGTTGCTGAGCACAGAAAAGTGTTGTCCTTCAGCCATCTGCGATCGGAGGGTTGGCCGCACCATGGGCAATCATTCGCCGCTGACTTCTGTTTTCTGCTCTCCTCATTGTCTGTTCCAGCGTGAGCCTCGTCCATGCTTTGTCGTTATCTATCCATGTCACTCTTGGTCTTCCGCACGCACGTGAACCAGATATTGTGGCTTGCATAATCTGCTTTTCTAAAACAAGTTAAAAACATTTCTCATGACGCGACAATAAAAGGCGAGCTTTCTCGATTTTATCACCAGTTTTCTTTCAACATCGGCTTCCAGTTTCTCACACGGATCCAAAAGTTGGACGAGCAAACACCAACTAAAGAGCCCTCTTGATAATCGAGCAGATGCAAATCCTAAGATGTGCCTTCACTTGAGCGAGGTTAACAGACAGTCGGGAAGAGAGGCGATGGCAGCGAGGTTTCCAATGCCGAGAAGCGCAAACGAAACGAGTGGGATAAACGTAGCGGTCTGCATGAGAGTGGTGACGCAATGCATCGTGAACAAGAGGACACATTCGCACCTGGTTCTTCTTCTCTCCCACCTAATGTGGCAACATGTTCAGCAGATAAATGCCACTGTCATGTTCCGCTAGCCACGAGAGGGATTCAGGAGGGAGTTGGTTTTCGTGTTGCTGTTCCTTCTCCTCCGTTGATGGAGTGCAGACCACGGTGGTTTACTATGTGGTCCAAAGTTTGTGTTGCATGGCCACAATTGCACGACTCTGGCCTGTCTTTAATGCACTATGCATATCTATGGGTCTCTATGGACCTCTATGTGTCTCTATGTATCCGTGTGTCTCTATGTATTCATGGGTCTCTATGTATCTCTATGTGTCTCTATGTATCCGTGTGTCTCTATGTAGTCATGTGTCTCTATGTATCTCTATGTCTCTATGTATCCGTGTGTCTCTATGCATATCTATGGGTCTCTATGGACCTCTATGTGTCTCTATGTATCCGTGTGTCTCTATGCATATCTATGGGTCTCTATGGACCTCTATGTGTCTCTATGTATCCGTGTGTCTCTATGTATCCGTGTGTCTCTATGTATCTCTATGTGTCTCTATGTATCTCTATGTGTCTCTTTGTATCCGTGTGTCTCTATGTATTCATGTGTCTCTATGTATCTCTATGTGTCTCTTTGTATCCGTGTGTCTCTATGTATTCATGTGTCTCTATGTATCTCTACGTGTCTCTATGTATCCGTGTGTCTCTATGTATTCATGTGTCTCTATGTATCTCTACGTGTCTCTATGTATCTCTATGTGTCTCTATGTATCCGTGTGTCTCTATGTATCTCTACGTGTCTCTATGTATTCATGTGTCTCTATGTGTCTCTATGTCTCTACGTATCCGTGTGTCTCTATGTATTCATGTGTCTCTATGTATCTCTATGTGTCTCTATGTATCCGTGTGTCTCTATGTATTCATGTGTCTCGATGTATCTCTATGTGTCTCTACGTATCCGTGTGTCTCTACACATTTCTATGTGTCTCTATGTATCAATTTGTCTCAGTCGATTTACCGAATGGTTCATAGTTTGAGTTGCATGGCCACAGTCACGTTACTGTGGCTGGTTTCTTTCATTTTACACGCATGAAGGAGATGCACACATGGGCCTGCTCTTGACGCTCTGATGCGGTTGATGGTCGCACTGGCGGTGTTTTCGAGGAGTGTCAAAGCCAGGAGGTTTGCGACGGTTCGGTCTCGAATGAGACGGGGGTTTATTCGCTCAACCTGGAAGAGGCATCGCTTCGAGAAGATTGTGGAGACAATATCCGTGGCGGGGGGGGGGGGGGGGGAAGGCGACAGAAGTGAATCCGCGAGTGCAGGAGCACCAATCAAACACACCACTCGATATTGGGTTCCGTCAAGAGTCCAGAGGGCTTCAACCCCAGACGGATGTGACAAGAGCGCGACACGACCTCGGCTGAACAATCCATTTACGTGCAGTCCTTGGCACTAGTAGCGGAACGAACGTATGTTGAACCTCTTTCGCACTGTATGTAGCCAAGCGTGCTCATGGGAGGTGCGGGGGAAGGACAACAAACTAAACACAAAATGCAGTTCTAAAGAAATTAGCTTTCAATCTAGATTATTTAAAAGTGCATAGCTCCAGTGGCTTCCTAATATCGTAAGGAAGAGCGTTCCAGATGGCCGCGGACGCGCATCTGAAAGTGCGCGACGCGGCGACTGTTATTGTTCGATGGGCAGCCAAAAGCCGCTGCTGCGAGGATGATCAGAGTTCGCGTGATGATGGTTTATGCTACTAGACGAGATCAGCAAGGTCATTTTGGTTCAATTGTGGCAAGCACTTCGTGTGTGTAATGAGTGCGACCCTTATAATCATGTATTCGTTCGCCATTCGGAAGCCAACGCAGCTCGGAACAGAGGCGAACCGAGGGGCACCCACCGCACAGAGAGACATCACAGCAGTGCCGCACGCTTGCCAAAGCGAAACATCCCGTAAGCAATTTAAATTGTTTAACAGAAAGCCGGCAGCTTGCCGCTTCGATCGCCCTCTCTGTACAGCAGTGGCAGCAGCAGCAGCAGCAGTCGTAACCGGTCAGAGGTAGCCTCCTGCTTTTTTGGTTGTTTGTGTTGCTTTGGGGCAATTTCTTAGTCTGTTTATTCATTATTGGTTTTGCCTGGTAGTCGTAGGGTTTTCATTTGTTTGGTGTAGTGGCTGAAAATGGGATTTGGTTCTCATAGAATTACTGTACAGCTTCGTGGGATGCTATTAATATGAATGATACTTTTTAAAATTTAAGTATTATTATTATTATAAGAGATGCAGCGGAGAACTCAGAATGCGCTCACCTGCTCTGGAACGATCTCCCTGAGATCGGAGGACGTCACCTGCGCCATGAAGCGTCTCATGCACAGGAGAATCGTGGTGTTGAGCCATGGCTCGGGCTGAGCTGCACGGACCCACCACGTGTTCCATGAGAGAACAAGGGAGACAGCGAGAGACAGAGCGCAATTACAGAACACTGACGTCGCTACCTCGAGTACCAAGGGTAGTCCAGACGTCTCGTGACACCCCCATATTAACTGACCCCTAACATGTGTGTTTGTCCTTTGCATGTTTCATGATCTGTTTTAAATAAAACCTCACGTGAAAACAAAATTAGTTTCAGAGAATTAATTGGGATTCACAAGACATCTGAACCACCCTGTGGAATAGGAGCTAGATACGTAGACCCCCCCCCCCCCCCATATATTTAGAGACAGTGTGCTTATATTATAAGATGCTTTTTGCCTTCCAGCCACCAGTGTAATGTTAAGATGTGTTGCTTATATCGGAACTGTGCTTATATACGGCGTGATTAGATCCAGCTTCGTTAGTCAATGGTTTTAAATATGCGCACAACGCCAATCAAGCGCACCTATTAAGCTGCACACGGAAACCGATATGTATTGATACTACCTGCAAGCAGCCTCCTTCAAAATGGAAGTGGTCACAACATCCCAACGCAGGCCTCAGTGAGATTTTGCTCACTCACGAGGCTGACGCGCCAAGGCAACAACATTACCTGACTTGTCCCGCGGTCCACTTCCTTGGCTTCCGCCCCGAGTTGCTGTCCGAAACCACGAGAAGATCGCTTCTCGCATCTCCGGCTTCAGGTCAGCGTAGTGGTGGCTCAGGAATGCCATTCTGCAATCAGAGCGCAGCGCGAAAACGTCGTTCACAACGGGGCTTACTTCTCCTCTGTTCGTGGAACAAGGAACGGGAAAGCAGGAAAGCACTGCAGGCAGGTCTCAGTAAGGACAGAAACCACAACAAGCGCCAAAGGTCACGTGTGCATTTTGTACCGGGTCAGAACTTAAAAAATACTCACAATGATTGAGGTTAGGGCTGAGGTTTGAGTAAGCCTTTAGGTTACTCTTTTAATATCGGACTGAAAATAAGCTTATATACTGCATATACAATTCAGAAAGCTAGAGAGAGAGATTTTTTTTTGTTTAGATCTGTAAACCTCCTTTTTTCTTGTTTAATAAATCGCTCATGTCTACGGCAATGAGAAATACTCCATTGCTTGTGTACGAGGCTATTCAACGTAAATGCATGGTCAACAGTGTTCAAGGCCCTTTATTTGGAACCGGACACCCAGCCACCTGGCATCTTTTTAGTGTTCACACACCATTGCATGATTGCTGCTTTAGCGGACGAACGTTAAAACACCAACATGACTTGCGGTGGCAACGCCTCAGTATACGACGTTTCGATTGCAACACAAGCAATCGTCATCAGGTACAAATGGACGAGAAAACAAACCTAGTAAACTTAGAAATACAACGCAACGCAGCGCGGGCAGTCGGCTAACATAACAGTCAACACCCTACCGAAAGACCAAAGGGTAATTACTGCAGTGACGAAAGCTCCAAATCAAGTTCGGCAACGCCTCGGCTTTGTGCATTAAATCGGATCCATCCACCACGAGTCACGCGCACGGTGTCGTTCTGCGATGACGGCGCGTTAGCCGCTGGTCGAGCTAGCCCCCGGGGGTGTGCGAGGAGGCTTTCATCTCAAGCGACTCGGAAAATATTCCCGCACCCACAGACACCACCGGCGTCCAGTGAATATCTCGCTGGGCAGGGGCGGAGCCGGGGGGGGGGGTGATAGGGTAGACAATTGCTACCACCGACAAAAAAATAAAAAAAATCGAAAATCTGAAACATTCTGCGTGTAAGTGTACGACACTAGGTCTGGCGGACTTCGTGCAAACTGCTTTGTCAGAGCGTGTCCGCCAACCGATGGCGTCTAGTTCAACAGCCTGACCTCTCTAATCATTCTTGAAATTAACATTTGTTGAATGTCACCCCGGGCTGAAAATCCTGGCTCCGCCCCTGTCGCTGGAGCTGTGGCTACCAGCAGTCGCGTGCCACTTACAAATATTTCGGCGAGAGGTTAGGGGCCGTCCATAAATGACGTCACGCGATTTTGGACGATTTTTGACCCCCCCCCTCTTCCCCCTCGTCACACGGCGTCAGACCCCCCCTCAAATATGACGTCACAAAGCTCTGCACCCCCCCCGCCGCCGCCCCCAAAACCATATTTCCATTTTGAAAATAAAAAAATGCTTCAAATCGCTTTAAACTATTGTCATTGTAGTGCGTATTTAATGTGGCGCTGCACTCTGATGTCGTTAGGAGTGTTGCTATTACAATTAGTGTTGTTAGAACAATTCTACATTTTGATTTAAATCTTTCGTGACTGCAGTAATTCATATTCTTAGCTTTTTCGGTAAAGTCACGTTGAAGGGAAACAATAAAATAATAAAATATATATAAAACAATAAAAATTCTCACGACGTTTCGACCATAACACCTGATGACGACCGTTTGTGTTATGGTCGAAACGTCGTGAGAATTTTTATTGTTTTATATATATTTTATTATTTTATTGTTTCCCTTCAACGTGACTTTACCGAAAGAGCTAAGAATATGAATTCTACATTTATTTAAAGTTGCGCATTTTGATGTGACGTCACATTTCTCAAACCCCCCACCCCCCCCCCCCCCCCACTCGTCACACATCGTCACAAAAATCTGACCCCCCCCCCCCACCCCCCACTAGGTGCGTGACGTCATTTATGGACGGCCCCTTAATAGGGCCGCCCGCTCACATGGTATCCAGCACCGTGGCGTTGTCAGCGGGGGCGGGCAATTTGCGCAGCGATGACGGCAAGATGTCCTTCAACGTCGCGGCGCCGTCGGCGAGGATGCGACCGGCCTCCTGCGGGTTGGGCGCGCGTAGAGCTCGCGCGAGCTGGCACCCGCAACACGTGACGCACGCACAAAACGTCAAAAAAACAACAACAACAAACAACAACAAACAACAGCAGCAGCAGCCGACATTCGCCACTAGTTGGCGGCCACAGGCGCCTGTGCCAGCGCCAGGTGCACTTTTCGAGGTCACGTGAAGTGTCGAAGACTCGCTGACGACAGGAGGTCGCGCGGCACAGACCCAGGTGGTATCTCATGAGTTGACTGACTGAGATGACTGGCACGTGCACCAGCTGTGCCCGACCCTCCCCACCTACTGCGCCAACTTGCTGCGTTTTAGCCGCTCGGCGCTCCCTGTGCACCAAAAAAAAAACACAGCATGAGCACGCGCGCATTAATCGTAGTCCGTCGGCTCGGTTGACATAAAGTTCGGCAGAGTTAAGCGAAACGCACGGGAGATGTGGTGTGTTTCCTAATGCGCATTGCCTGGTGCCTTGCTACTTCCATGCAGTGTTTTCCCTTCATGGGCAAGATTCACATTGTGATGATGAAAAATGGTAAATGCCATCCGCTTGTCGATTTGTTCTCATTATGGTGAAAAGTGCGAAGAAAAGTTTCCATAACAATTAGGATGCCAAGCAAGATTTGCCAGCATTTAAATCAGACCCTGTGCGTCAGATGACATTTTCAAACTTTTAATTATTTTTTTAAAAAATCTATTGAACATTGTTCATTCTGAAATAATTAGCTCAATTGTGATGAGACAGTATTTCCTTTCACAGATTTCGAATAAATTCCCGTAATTAATAATTTAATCTTTTCCACCCATAATTAAACTGGGTTCTCAAGAACAGAAAATTGGTGTCCTAGCCTGGTTCACCAATGACAGCACGCACAAAAACCCACCATAATAATAAACTTGGTTTTGTACCTAATCTGTCCATGATATTCACTCAAGAACGAACTCTGCATTGAATATTCTTCCGAGTTGCATCCAAGTGGTCGATTTGCTTAATGTACTTAATTCGCTGTCTTCTTTGGCTCTTGTGTACTTTTCCCATTCAAAACATTACACTGTTTTCTCAATTCACGTGCAAGTAACTTGGCTTTCTCCAATTATGTCCATTCATTCTTAATGATCTTTTTGTTACCTGCTGCCACCCGTAATATAATTGATCGTTACACCTCTATATGTCACCCTTCCAATATCGCCGATGATAACGTAGAATCGCCGCCACACACGAAGGGTCAAATTAGGTAATCTTTGGCAAAGCTGGGCGTTGAATCTTTTTTGAAGTTTTACAAATCCCCTTGGCAACCCACACTGCATATTCACTGCCATGTGACTCTGTCCTCTGGAGGCCCTCCAGAAATAAAAACCCGCATCCTGTCTAGAGGGTATGAGTACAGCCGCAGTGCAGGCCACAGAGGTTTACAGTTATGGTTTGAAAATATTTCCACAACGTGTGCGTCCTGACTTAACGACCGTGTGATTATTATTATTATTATATAGACACACCGTTCTTTATCGTGGCCAACAACTGAATAGACCACATCAATGATTTTGGACATTTTCATTACTGTGGTAGCCTCGTGCGGAGTTACTGCCAACGCCTATCTACGGAAAAATTGTGGAATTCACCTTTTTATAAAATTAGAAATCATGAAGTTAAAACTTTTGAAATTGTACCATTATCGGTGCAGACGTATATCTGTATTCACTAGATGGGGCTCTGGTAACTCTGCTAGGGTGATGCAATTTATAAAAGATCAGATGATCACTGCATTCCCTCGTTATTTACGAACTGGCGATCCGCGATTTTGGCGATCCGCGAATCGCATCTGGAACTCTACACAACTCCATCAGAGAGAGAGAGAGAGGGAGGGAGGGAGAAATAAAGTGATGAGAGAGAAAGTGATGAAAGAGAGGAGAGAGAGAACTTCTCTAAGCTTTAGAAGAATCTGCAGATGCTGCGCATACAATATTTGCCAGCCAACATCATTATCAGCGAGATTTGCTATTCACGAGCACTTCCGGAACGTTATCCCCTGTCGCGAATAACAAGGGAATCCTGTCCATTACAATCTTCAGTCTTCTCATCCTCTTTGCACATCCCATTTGCTTTCCATGGTGTGTGTATTCATTGTAACGATCCAATGACAATGCACATTGTAATACTTGTAGGCGGTACGTATTTTGAAACTTACAATGATGTTAACATTTGAAACAACATTCGTTGAAAAATATACAGTGAGGGAAAACAAGTATTTGATCCCCTGCTGATTTTGTGCGTTTGCCCACTGACAAATAAATTATCAGTCTATAATTTTAATGGTAGGTTTATTTTAACAGTGAGAGACAGAATAACAACAAAAAAATCCGGAAAAACGTATGTCAAAAATTGTATAAATTAATTTTCATTTTAATGAGGGAAATAAGTATTTGACCCCCTCTCAATCAGAAAGATTTTTGGCTCCCAGGTGTCTTTTATACAGGTGACGAGCTGAGATTAGGAGCACACTCTTAAAGGGAGTGCTCCTAATCTCAGCTTGTTACCTGTATAAAAGACACCTGTCCACAGAAGCAATCAATCAGATTCCAAACTCTCCACCATGGCCAAGACCAAAGAGCTCTCCAAGGATGTCAGGGACAAGATTGTAGACCTACACAAGGCTTGAATGGGCTACAAGACCATTGCCAAGCAGCTTGGTGAGAAGGTGGCAACAGTTGGTGCGATTATTCGGAAATGGAAGAAACAAAAGAACTGTCAATCTCCCTCGGCCTGAGACTCCATGCAAGATCTCACCTCGTGGAGTTGCAATGATCATGAGAACGGTGAGGAATCAGCCCAGAACTACCCGGGAGGATCTTTTCAATGATCTCAAGGTAGCTGGAACCATAGTCACCAAGAAAACAATTGGTAACACACTACGCCGTGAAGGACTGAAATCCTGCAGCGCCCGCAAGGTCCTCCTGCTCAAGAAAGCACATATATATGCCCATCTGAAGTTTGCCAATGAACATCTGAATGATTCAGAGGACAACTGGGTGAAAGTGTTGTGGTCAGATGAGACCAAAATGGAGCTCTTTGGCATCAACTCTACTCGCCGTGTTTGGAGGAGGAATGCTGCCTATGACCCCAAGAACACCATCCCCACCGTCAAACATGGAGGTGGAAACATTATGCTTTGGGGATGTTTTTCTGCTAAGGGGACAGGCCAACTTCACCGCATCAAAGGGACGATGGACGGGGCCATGTACCGTCAAATCTTGGGTGAGAACCTCCTTCCCTCAGCCAGGGCATTGAAAATGGGTCATGAATGGGTATTCCAGCATGACAATGACCCAAACACACGGCCACGGCAACAAAGGAGTGGCTCAAGAAGAAGCACATTAAGGTCCTGGAGTGGCCTAACCAGTCTCCAGACCTTAATCCCATAGAAAATCTGTGGAGGGAGCTGAAGGTTCGAGTTGCCAAACGTCAGCCTCGAAACCTTAATGACTTGGAGAAGATCTGAAAAGAGGAGTGGGACAAAATCCCTCCTGAGATGTGTGCAAACCTGGTGGCCAACTACAAGAAACGTCTGACCTCTGTGATTACCAACAAGGGTTTTGCCACCAAGTACTTAGTCATGTTTTGCAGAGGGGTTAAATACTTATTTCCCTCATTAAAATGCAAATCAATTCATAAGATTTTTGACATGCGTTTTTCTGTCTCTCACTGTTCAAATAAACCTACCATTAAAATTATAGACTGAGCATTTCTTTGTCAGTGGGCAAACGTACAAAATCAGCAGGGGATCAAATACTTTTTTTCCCTCACTGTATATGAAGAAAAACAACACGGAGCAAAAAGAACATAAAAGGCATGTCAAATATAAAAAATTGTTAACGTTAAAAAAATGAATAACATTACGTACTAAACGTTGTTAATACTCGTACGTAAACAAAAACACTTACGATGTTGTCATCATCTCTCTTGCTCAGAGGTTTTCCCGGAGTCAAAGGCATATCCTGCATTGCTGCTTGTGGCCTCCCCGCATTGGGATTGCCGCCCTGTGAAGACTGACCCTGCTGCCCTGGATTTTTCCCTGCTTGGGTTTGCTGCCCCTGATTTTGCTGCCCCTGATTTTGCTGCCCCTGGGTTTGCTGCCCCTGATTTTGCTGCCCCTGATTTTGCTGCCCCTGATTTTGCTGCCCCTGATTTTGCTGCCCCTGATTTTGCTGCCCCTGGGATTGCTGCCCCTGATTTTGCTGCCCCTGATTTTGCTGCCCATGATTTTGCTGTCCCTGGGTTTGCTGCCCCTGATTTTGCTGCACCTGATTTTGCTGCCCCTGATTTTGACGTCCTTGATTCGGTTGGTCCTGAGTTGGTGGCTCCTGCGTCGTATTGCTGTGCTCCGTTACCACTCTGTTGGTTTTACTCTCACTTGACTGGTTTTGGTTTGGATGTCCGTTGCTTTGGTGCTCCTGATTGAGCTGTACTGCAGTGGTCTGATTCACATTTGGATGTTGCTGACTTGGTATAAATGGTACCTGACTTGTTTGCTCAGAAATATTTCCCTTCTTGGGCAGCCCATTGTCTGATGTCCCTTTAATGCCCTGATTCTGCCCATCTGTGGATGAAAAACATGAAGAAAAAATAGGTTTCATATCACAGTATTTACATCGTGACTTTTTATGCTACATGTCTTGAAACACTTGTACCGTATATATATCGTGCAAATGTTCAGAGATACACTTGCCATTGTGATGCTATCATTGAATTAAATTTTTCGTATTTGTGTGAGTGTGTTTGAGCGTGGTGCGCGTCAGTTAGTAGATGTGCAACAACAACAAACAACATCTCCACAGGGCTTGTGCCAGGCTAGGTGCAAGGGTTACACAACACGCGTGTGCGTGTGGCTTATTCATGTGTGTGTGGGGAGTGGTGGCGTAGCGGTTAGTGCTACGCTGCACAATGACCCCGGCGGTCCCGAGTTCGATTCACGCTCACGGCCAACACCAGTGACGATTATCTGAATCGGTCCTGGGCATCCCCTAGGTCGACTCAGCCTCAAAATTAGTATCCGGTGCGGTGTGCAGTAAACATCGCCACTAGGGGAGACAAAGTCGGCCGGGCGTGGTGCTGGCCACCAACCCCCTCGTGTGCCGTGCCGGCTTCCTTCATAGGTGCTACTCGCCAACAGCACTTGCCCCCAGCAGTCTGTCAAGGCTACACGGGCTATCTTTGTCTTTGTTGTTGTTGTTGTGTGCGCCCAGGGAGCCCGTCGCTATGGTGACGTACTCGCACGTACCTTGGGATCACCATGGCAACCGTGCGAGCGGCCAGGTGAGATTCTTCACCTGGCCGCTCTATTAGCGGTAACGAGAAATCATGGCGCGGTGCACAGCGCTCTTCACATTATGCACGGGGTCAGTGCAGGCTGGCCGCTCAGCGTATTTGTACGGGTACCTGTACGTCTAATGAGTTGAGCCAGCAAGATATAACGCCGGGTTTTTTTTTGTGTGTGTTTACCATGATGTCTGTTCCGTTGGTTGGTTATTATTTTTATTATTATTTTTTCGCTCAGAATTTGCATTTGCTTTGTTGTTGCGCTTTTTTTTCCCCCCCTTTTATTTCTTTGCTTTTGCCGTTTTGGGCGACCCGGGTCATCGTCGCAATTGAGACTGTTAGTGCTGCTCCCTTGCATTCACACCCACCTCGTAACATAAATACGTTGAGGAAAATTTCCGATGGGGGGAAATTCGTTTAAAAAAGCATTTTAGCAAAGCAAAAATAAATCGCAAAAAGCCTTCATTTTTCATTATATTAAACGTATCCAAACAGAAATGCAATAATTATCTCTTTACAAAAATAGAATTTGACATACGATGCCTAATTTTTTTTTTGGGGGGGGGGGGGTTTGGGGTCTCCACGGACGGGTTCATCAACCAACTTGCTGTGCTGCCATCTGACCACCTTGGGGCCCAGTGAGTTCCACAAATCTCGGCACGACCCACCAACCCTTGCCACTTAAATGCCGGGATAACAGGCCCGACTTCTTAATTCAGTGTCCTTTTTACAATTTTTAAACGTCGCATTTAACGTTTCCAAACCACTCTGAAACCATTTCCCTGTTCGCGTGCGAACGTGAGCGCGCGTGCGTGTGGATCGCAGCCGTGTGTCCAGCGAAACGCTCCGGATCCGCTAACATTTCCTTTGCCACAAACGCGTGCGTGCGGCAATGTTCCCCAAAACCCAGGCCCAAATTCGCGGGGACAGTGCTCGAGAAAAGGCCGACGGGTCTTTTGATGTTTTCGGATACACTGCAGGTGGTCTCTGTTCCCTCCGAGAGAGAGAAGCAAAAAAAAAAGCGAAGCTGCCGTTTAGCACACATCCGTGACTTCAGCTGGCGAGAAATTTGAAAGGAAATGTGAGTTGGAATTGTTTTTTTGTTTTTTAAAGTCCCGTATTTATGGTTGATGTGACGTGTGAATGAATGTTCTTTTGGCCATTGTAACAATTCAATAATAGTATAAGAATTACTGAAATGCACGAGCAAAAAGTGAGCAACGACGATTGTGCACATGAAGTACTGCAATTTTACCAACTTCGCCTGGTTCTTCACCGATTCTCAAAAAAAAAACAATGCCCCTATAATAATGCATACATTATATCCTTAGCTCTTTCGGTAAAGTCACGTTGAAGGGAAACAATACAATAATAAAATATATATAAAACAATAAAAATTCTCACGACGTTTCGACCATAACACCTGATGACGACCGTTTGTGTTATGGTCGAAACGTCGTGAGAATTTTTATTGTTTTATATATTTTATTATTTTATTGTTTCCCTTCAACGTGGCTTTACCGAAAGAGCGAAGAATATGAATTACTGCAGTCACGAAAGCTTTAAATCAAAATTTAATAAATACATTAATTAACGTCCGTCATGTTGCGCACATTCTATGCGATGGAAAGCAGGGGGGAGAAGGTGTTCTCTTGTAATGTCAGACATTCCCACCAAGCAAGCAGCCTTGTGAATGTTGTGTATACCCACATTATACACCACTGCAACCAATCGACCAAAATAAACCAAATTTGTTTCGTTTTATAGCCAAATAATCGCACAGGCGGCCACGGATGAAGAATCTTGTTCAACGGCCAATTTGTAAAAAAGAAAAAAAACTATTGATCGACGCAGTAATGAGCTGCCAATGCAATTAGCGGCGGCTGTAGGGTCCAGGGAGTAAACCTCCCCTCCGTCCCTCCCTCCCTCCCTCTTGCACCGTGTGCTCGCTCATTACCGACCGTCACGAATAAGCCACCCGCATCAAAAAATAAAATTGCATTCTTAAAGAGTGACTGCCTTACAACGTAAAGGAAAACATAACAAGCAGCATTGTCTTTCCCGTGCTTCCTCTGCCAAAGTGTAATGCCATTACACAAATGGAACATGCCGAACACGCGCACACAAACAGGGAACATTCCACATGCCAACGCGTTCACACACGCCATTCCTGGGGGGGGGGGGGGGGGGGGGCGGACGCGTACGACGGTTCGCGCGCTGCGCTCCGAAAGCGGCAACTCGAATTCGATCGCCGCTCACGGCCAACGCCAGTGGCGATCGTCTAAACCGGTCCCGCCTGGGTCGACTCAGCCTCAAAAGAGTACTTGGAGCGGTAAGTAAACATCGCCACTGGGGGAGACAAAGGCGGCCGCGCGTGGCGTTGCCCACCCACCCCCTCGTGTGCCGCGCCCCAACAGTACTTGAAGCCTATATGAGATCTTTGTCTTTGGTAAAATTGGTGGTGGTTTTTCCCATTGGTGTAAGGAAGCCATTGGTTCTACATTAAAACGCTTTACACAGCCATGTCGCGTGGCTCTGCTGGTGTGGTTATGCCTGCGCTCAATTGCACCGCACCACCAATACGCCTCCCGTGTAAAGCAAATACCGTCTGGTCAGGCTCTTACGGGGGGATCTTTGTATTTGGTTTTTGTTTGTTATCCTCCTTACGTGAGCACGCGAGGAGGATGGCGAGGAGGAAGACGAAGAGAGGGAGCGTCAAGTTTGCTCCGAGTAGACGCATCGTGGCTCGTTCGATGTCACGCGCACCTGAGAACACACACGTGCGCGTGATATCCGTATCGACGAGGGCACACACGACGCTTACGAGACACTGCGTTGGCGATGCATCGCTTACATCCGAAAGGCTTTTCAAGTCTAATGCAGCAATTTCAATCCACGCGCTGTGCAAATTAATTGTTGTTATAAATGATCATCACAACGAGTTTTAATTCACAACGGGTAAATGTGCAATCCAGGCAACTGTTCGTCTCATACGACTGCTTGGTGGAAGGGTCTCCAACAGATGGAGCTCTAGAGAGCCTCTGTAGAGGGTAAACTTTCTTTAAAAGACGTCTTGGAAGTTAGTTTATATATGTATATATATAACAGAGGAAGCGTATGAACATTAGGAACATAATTCAGACCAAATACTCAGTTGGGAATATTAAGCAGTGGCATGGCTGCACACAAGAAAACTATAAACACATTTTTATTTTACCAGGTAAGCCCCACTGAGCTATTTCGCTATTTTCAAAACGACCTGGCCTCCACAAATTATAGCTCAACGAGGTGGCTTATCACGTGGAAATGTACAGCAATCAAATACTCTAAACGCGTGATGTCGATACTAAATGTGGAGGGGAAAAGTGGAGGACACGGAGGAAAATACACGCGACCACGGGGAGAGAGACACGCAAACTTCGAATACACAACAGGTATCAATGTGGCCCCACGCAAATGGTGAATCGTGCCGTGCTGTGCGAAAATTAATGCAATGCCTTTAATAAAAGGGAGAAGCTTTGGACGGAGTAAGAAAAGCAAAGAGGTGCGCAAAAAAAGTGTGGGATAAAAATGGTGCTAGCCGTTATTAGAATACGTAACTCGTGTATGTATGCTGAATTTCTTTCGCACCGTACGTAGCCAACCGTGCTAATCGGAGGTGCGGGGAGGGGACGACAAACTAAAACACAAACAAATCGGTTCTAGCGAAATGCGTTTTTCAACCTAGCGTGACAAGAGGAGAGAAGGCAGGTCTTAAGTCTGGTGTAGAGGTGAGGACACACGCACGAATGTGCAGCTCACCTTGCTTCACGCGCAGCAGTGGGGGAGGTGAGTGCGTGACAATCTTGCTTCTGCTCTCTCTCTATATATATGGTGGCCAGGTAGAGGTGACGTCACCAGTGCCGTGCGTGAGAGCCGGTGTCACGGAGTGGGTCGTGAAAAGGCACCGATGGCTTCAGTTCTCATTGATTCAGAGCGCAGCAGTCCATCACAAACGGGGTGCTGGCGTACACCCTTTCTCCCCGAGGGTGTTCTCATTGTACGCGAGTTGCGAAATCAGAAATCAAAACCCGCACCAATTAAATCAACTAATGGGATCGTGTGTTCAAAAGGTATATTCCCCAGAAAAGGGCTGGGTTTCGTCCTGAATTTCACCGTCGTGATCATCGTCACCATCGTCGTCAACAGTCAAGTGACATCGTTATCAAGGTCATCACGTGGCGAGGTCGACGATCAAGACTATGAACTAAAAGGTGGCATCTCCAATTTGTCGCGTCGTCGGGCTATTAAAAACAAAATTAGCTCGCCAAACGCCGTTTCTTCTATTTCGTAACCATGGAAAAAATCTCTGGCGAGTTGTACAGCAGCTCACGCGAAATTGCCACCGTTCTCTCGCCAGGATTAGCAGCAAGGATCCAGTGGCACTTTTTTTTACGCACGGAATATTTTGATGAATTACTTAAAGAGAACAAATGAACAAAGCATGCACTTTAGCAGCTTACGTGTGCAAGCAGCTACCTGTACACGCACGTTTAAACACCAATTGCTGTAATTTAAGAAAATATTTAATGCGACAACCCTCCCCCCCCTCCCCTCCCCCATGATATATGGCACTTGGCATACGAAGTATGGAAATTCACACATCTCATACTTGCATAGGCGCCTGTGGAAGGTGCACAGAATGCTTTCAGAATTATAAATTTGGGGGGGGGGGGGGGGGGGAAGTCGCAGCAATATAAATTAAAGCTAATTTTCAATGTTCAACTTTAATCTGTGCTAAATTTATTAAACCCCCAGTGTTTCATGCATTACAAAACAAAATCTAAAGCAATTTACTAAGTTGAGATGTGCATTGTTATAATCTTTATCACTGTAATTGTTTGTTTTCTGATAGGCTTCCACCTTTTCCCAATCAGAAAATAATTGCTCCATGTCACACATTTATGAAACAGTAATGTTATTTTATAGTCAGTACTGGGCATCTGGGAAAAGCACTGGACATTTGAAAGAGCTTCATAGTTCATGGGATTTCTCCAGGATAAATATAGATTCTGGTTATATAAGCCCTGCTGGGCCTATTCCGCACTAATCATTGCTGTAAACTCTGTACCTGTATGTTTAACTTTAATGCTTGTGTAGTGACTGGGAATGTCACTGTGTGGTGCCGGGCCTGCGAGGCCACGGCGGGATGGACACTGTTGTGGGTACACCCCGGACACGGGGTGTAGTACCAGCCCTAGTGGGGGCTTGGGTGAGCGTTGGTTAAGCGTGGTGGCACCACGCACAGCGTGCGGTCCGGGCTCCCGTTGAGAGAGCGAGGGAGTGTCAGCCAGCTCGGGTTACGTTGGCGGCATGATACTCTGGCTGACCTGGGGGCATGTGACCGGATGATACTGAAAAAGGGCCACCGGTGGAGGGGGCCAATGGGTGGTCACATGGTCCGGGAAGAACTCTCGAGAGTCTTCGGGGAAGGGCGAGAGAGATCGAGGTGGGTGGGGCGTGAGGCGGAGCCATCCCCAGCCCAGCCCGATATAAGGGGGGGCCCTGTGAGGGGCTCGGGGTTCTTACGGTTGGAGAGGCAGGAGATCCACGTCAGGCTTGAAGCCTCCAGCCACGCGGTCCGGGACCCAGCTTGTGGTCCAGACCAGGATAGTGGAACCGTGTCTAGTTCGGCCGTAGCGTGGTGAGTTGGGTGGTCACCACCCAAGAGTGTGTTTAGTGTTAATAGCTTGGAGTATTTTGTGTGAATAGCTTAGAGTATGTTGTGCTAAGAGTTTAATAAAACGTGTTGCTCCCGAGACAACGTCTGCGACTCAGTTGGACTCACTACACTTTTATTACAATAATACTATCGCATAGGGACTTCATATTTCATACCTTTGATGGGACATCGATGGGACATCTCTCCAATTTGTAGTAGGTTCCGTGCAAAGAGGGTTATTAATGGTGTGAGTATTGTCCAAAAATTCAAGTGGATCTCATGAAACTTACTCAATAGTTGAGCGTGTTGACCAATTAACTACTCAAACGATGACATACAGCGATTCCATACGTATTTAATTTTGGGGTGGAGCAGTGGTGCCGTGGTTAGCAAACTGTGCTATGAACACAGAAACAAGAGTTCAAATCCCAGCCACGGCTGACATCAGTGGCGAGCTTTATGAGAACCTGTACTGGCCAACCTACCTTCGCCAACCCACACTGACCAATGTGGTGAAGTGTAATCAAATAAATCCCATGACCAACATGGGGAAAGGGGGAAGGGGAGGCCTTAATCCACCAGTGGACTTGAAAAGGCCTGAAAATTACAAACCATTGTTGAACTTCCACCTGTCCACTGATCTGACACGAGAGCAAGGGATGCTGTTGACAATGATCTCAAAAAGGTGGCTCAAGCTACGGTAGTCTAATTCGGTTTCGAATCCGTCAAGACAGTTGACACAGAATCAACAAATGTCAGTTGCACGAGAGCCATATCTCAGCCATGTCATGCAGTGTATACACTTCATATGTAATGGCAGGTTTCAGGTTACACAAACAGGCTGCCAAAAAACGTAACACGTGTATTGCACACAATTTGTATTTATAAAAGCTAATAGTGATGTATCTTGAAAGCAATACGTTTATTTCGGTGTTTTTGTCTTCCTTCGCCATACAAGCATTGCAAAACAGTGAACACACCTTCATCTGGAACACACCTAGCCCATGAATAAACAGAAACGTGACAGTGTGTTTTTAGGGGGATGGCTGGGAAATAAATCAACAAGGCGTGGGCAGTTGGGGACAAATAGATAATGCAATTATTGCACTAGCAGAAACTCCTAGAGCCAGACTATTGATTGGTAGTGTACGTCAGCAAGGTACATGTTGCATTCGCCAATAACATACGGTCACATCGCATGTGGCCAGATAACAGATTGACTTTACCTTATTGTTCTACAGCCATAAAGTGAGGGAAAAAAGTATTTGATCCCCTGCTGATTTTGTACGTTTGTCCACTGACGAAGAAATGATCAGTCTATAATTATAATGGTAGGTTTATTTGAACAGTGAGAGACAGAATAACAAAATCCAGAAAAACGCATGTCAAAAATGTTATAAATTGAATTGCATTTTAATGAGGGAAATAAGTATTTGACCCCCAGGTGTCTTTTATACAGGTAACGAGCTGAGACTAGGAGCACACTCTTAAAGGGAGTGTTCCTAATCTCAGCTTGTTACCTGCATAAAAGACACCTGTCCACAGAAGCAATCAATCAATCAGATTCCAAACTCTCCACCATGGCCAAGACCAAACAGCTCTCCAAGGATGTCAGGGACAAGATTGTAGACCTACACAAGGCTGGAATGGGCTACAAGACCATTGCCAAGCAGCTTGGTGAGAAGGTGACAACAGCTGGTGCGATTATTCGCAAATGGAAGAAACACAAAAGAACTGTCAATCTCCCTCGGCCTGGGGCTCCATGCTAGATCTCACCTCGTGGAGTTGCAATGATCATGAGAACGGTGAGGAATCAGCCCAGAACTACACGGGAGGATCTTGACAATGATCTCAAGGCAGCTGGGACCATAGTCACCAAGAAAACATTTGGTAACACACTACGCCGTGAAGGACTGAAATACTGCAGCGCCCACAAGGTCCTTCTGCTCAAGAAAGCACATATACATGCCCGTCTGAAGTTTGCCAATGAACATCTGAATGATTCAGAGGACAACTGGGTGAAAGTGTTGTGGTCAGATGAGACCAAAATGGAGCTCTTTGGCATCAACTCAACTCGCCGTGTTTGGAGGAGGAGGAATGCTGCCTATGACCCCAAGAACACCATCCCCACCGTCAAACATGGAGGTGGAAACATTATGCTTTGGGGGTGTTTTTCTGCCAATGGCACAGGACAACTTCACCGCATCAAAGGGACGATGGACAGGGCCATGTACCGTCAAATCTTGGGTGAGAACCTCCTTCCCTCAGCCAGGGCACTGAAAATGGGTCGTGGATGGGTATTACAGCATGACAATGACCCAAAACACATGGCCAAGGCAACAACGGAGTGGCTCAAGAAGAAGCACATTAAGGTCCTGGAGTGGCCTAGCCAGTATCCAGACCTTAATCCCATAGAAAATCTGTGGAGGGAGCTGAAGGTTCGAGTTGCCAAACGTCAGCCTTGAAACCTTAATGACTTGGAGAAGATCTGCAAAGAGGAGTGGGACAAAATCCCTCCTGAGATGTGTGCAAACCTGGTGGCCAACTACAAGAAACGTCTGACCTCTGTGATTGCCAATAAGGGTTTTGCCACCAAGTACTAAGTCATGTTTTGCAGAGGGGTCAAATACTAATTTACCTCATTAAAATGCAAATAAATTTATAACATTTTTGGCATGAGTTTGTCTGGATATTTTGTTGTTATTCTGTCTCTCACTGTTCAAATAAACCTACAATTAAAATTATAGACTGATCATTTCTTTGTCAGTGGGCAAACGTACACAAACAGCAGGGGATCAAATATTTTTTTCCCTCACTGTATATACTTCTTCCGTGAATAACTGGACATTCCAATACAAAACCACAACCAATGATGCACCGGATTGCATTTAACATAACATTGTATACGCAGTGTTGTTTTCTACATCAAAACCTAGGCGAGAATATTGAAAAAATCAGTACAAAAATGTTAATGTACCTATTGGAATTTAATACAAAATGTTAATGTTTCAGATACATTTAACAATGGATTTTTTCTTCTAAATCATAACAATGTTTTACACACTCTTTGGAATTATCATACATAACTGCACTACTGTTAGTGTTGCTGCTGAATATGGAAGTTACATTCGACATTTTCGGGTTGCCATTTGGAACATTTTTTTATTTTTTCGACAACTCGTTAATAATTTTTCCCATCCTAAGCAGTAACAAAATATCTGAATTCATTAAAATGTGTTGCGATTCACTGTTTTGAAAATTATAACTATCCGCACTTACATAACTGCCAGGATATTCATGCCTAG